ACACACAGGAAGGCCATGGGAACATATAGCATAAATCTCAATGGGGAATCGATATACCTGAAGCTTAAATGCAACTTCTTGGTCATTTTCCCGTGTCATGTTTTGCCAATCAGGGCTGAAATGCCGATTCATATGCACAACGCAGCATCACAGCAGTTGGTGCCCATGGAGATGCCTCATTCTAAAAACATTTTGTTCATGTCCTTTCTACAGGATTGCGTATGTTTACATTTTAAAGATTTAAAGTGGCATGACATAGTACATAGTTTATGACACATTGACCAGAATTTATGAACGTAGTCAATTCTGGAACTTAATATGGCAGAACATGTTGTTAGGACATAGTATTTGTAGAGTTGCTGCTACAAGACCCTGAAGGTTTGTGGATTTATACTTGAATGTGAAATGCTGGAAACAAATAGAATTTCCTTTATTGAATTCACATTTTGGGCAAAAATCAAGAAAAATGTGTTGACTGAGACATAAAGTCTTATTCAATTTTATCTTGGAGCCAAATTTGAAGTTCTTGAATTGCCAGAGAGATGTGTATCAGTTTCTTTAGCATCTGTATCATAACTGCATGTCCACGTATCCCATGTTAACAAATCTACTGTTGGTTGGCAGAACAGGGTTATATTCTTTTATTGAAACCATTGAAGATTAGCGTCTCTTGAACATCGAACTGGAATATGGTTATACAGTTGCCATGTTTGTATTCGTATATCATTTTCGAATACATGTTGCCATATTCTGCAGTACTGATCAGTACAAGTGTATTTAATAATTAAAGATCTTTAGTTTAACTGGCTAACCTTTGATTGTTGAAGTATCCACTTCAATTTTTAAGGATGGACAGGATTCTCTTGTGTTTCAGGTTTTCAAATTAGTATTATTTGCGGAGCCACAATGTTTTGATTAAGCTTGATTGATTTTACCTGTTTGTTCAAAATAATTTGCTTTTTAATTAAATTTTCTAACAAATTGTCACATGAAAAAAACTGTCCTGTTGCCTGGATCAGGTTATTTACATAACATATCCCTTTCTCATTTCATGTTGGGTAGTATATTGCTTTTCCATCAGAAATAATGTTTATATTAGACCAAATATTTTAAAGTTATTTCAATGCATTCAGCATTGCCTTTCTCTGAGATAGAACACTGGTATTCAGTAGTTAACTCGTTAGGACCTGGCCTTTTTTATTCTTTAAAGATCTAGGTGTGCGAAAACGTCATCGTTAGTTAATCCTCCCTCAAGGTTTGATGCAAATTGTTTATGTTACTCTTGAATATCAATATGTTTGAGTGCAAGTTCTAAATTTGTGCCCGAAACGTCCGGTTTTTTGTATAATGTTTGGTAAGTTTTGCCTGAATGTCAAGTCCTCAAAGTGTACATAAATGTTGGAAGTACAACATGTCACATACATTTTTTTTAGTAAACGTTAGATGATGTTTGCATTCATTATTGACAAACTGTCCTGAACCGTTAAAGTTCGAAATATAACTTATCTATGGCCACCCTCTGTTAACACCGCCGGTATTGTACGTAGGTGGAAAGGAAAACGAGCTTTTGACTCTTTTATGTGACAAACTTAATATTGATAGGTAGCTGTTTGATGTCGGATTTAAAGTGCCAGACCACTGAGATACCATGCTGCAGTTTAACATGGATGCTTCACACAGTGTACTGACTCCGAGCCGACCAGTTATAGCTATATATACATTTGTACATGTATATCCTCCCCAGTCAAGCTATCCTCGAAAACTTAGTTTTCCTTCTGAAAGATATTCTTTTCATAAAATAAACTCATAACTTTGTAAGATGAGGACATAGGTGAACAATATATTCCAGTAATATCATATGGTTACAAATTAAGGTGCGATTAAGTCGCAAAGTGGTACAGGTTCTGACCATTTTGCAATGTCGTGAAATCCACGAGTAAGATTTTGGTTTAAACAACCCATGTTAGGGTCATAACCAAGGTTAATCTGGCATCTGGCATCTAACATTTGAATTATACGATTAAAAAAATGTGCAGTACTCTTTGCAGTCCCCATGCTTTATATCATGGGATGTGTACTTGGCAAGCTGAATCTCAACACATACTGTTGTATTGTGTGATGTGACTATATGATATGTAATATATTGGAGTAACATTCCATTTGATTCTTTTCAGGATGTCAAAACGAATTTTATGGGGAAAATTGCATCGAAAAATGTAGTGAGAACTGTAGAAAAACGACACGGACACGAACATGCAGACTGCGGAACGGAAATTGTTTTGACGGATGTGAGCCCGGCTGGACAAGCGAACATTGTAACACAAGTAATCAACTATTTTTGTTTTCTATGACTTGTTGGCATGGTGGTGGCACGTGGTCCTATGCACAGCGCATGCCCAGGTCACAAATCAGGTGAAGTTAAGCAGAGACTCAGAGAGTAGTGAGTGAGTGAGTTGAGTTTATCGCCGCTTTTAACATTATTCCAGTCATATCGCGGCAGGTCAGCTTAATGTGGGAGGAAAGCCCGAAGTGATGCAGGTTTCAGACGTTTACCACTTCGGTGAAACCCACGAGCTCGGGTATGGTGTTGACAAACCTAGAAACATAATCGGGGCGAGCCGGGATTCAAACCCACAATCATAGGTTCCCGGCGTGCCCAAGGGAATCGAGGCGCCTTAGACGGCTGGGCCACCCGTGCCCCCCTCAAAGAGTAGCTGGATGGGTAACCATCACACTGTAGTACATGTAGGGCAGCGATGACTTTGTTCGAAATGTGCCTCTCTTCACTCAGCCGTGAATGGGTACAGTGTAGTGTGAGGGGTTTATGTGGTTGTAAACCTTCAATATATATATATATATATATATATATATATATATATATATATATATATATGCATGCATATTATTATTATTATTATTATTGTTGTTGTTGTTGTTTTGTTTGCACTTCATTTCATTTGTATCGATAGTTATAACTGTAGTAATTATCGGGGTTACAGGAGGTACCCGACGTGTGGTAACATATTAATTGCTTATAAGTGCCCTTTGTTTGAAACTGGAACATAATATTAAACTAATCTAATACATATCAAACAAAATCTGGTAGATGTAACAATGCATTAGCGTACAAATAACATTTTGCGTTATAATGTTTTTATTAAACCCGGTGTGGAGCGCCTATAATGTGAGCTATGAAACATTATGTCACTATTCCGATTGTTTTTTCTTCATGTATGAACAAATGTTAACGTTTGGATAAATCGTATCAGAAAATGCTTAAGTCTCTGTGTCATGTATACGCATCACTGCATTGGCCTGACATGCTTAGTGTTAACATGATGTTTGTGTTGAATCTAGTATGTCTCCCTGGTTGGTATGGACAAGGATGTGGCTCTCAATGCAGCATCAACTGTCTGAACACCAGCTGCCACCATGTTAATGGAAGCTGTACATCCGGATGTGTGGCCGGTAGACAAGGAGACAGGTGCCAAGATGGTATGTTACATACTGTAGATACACATAATGGTACAGCCATGCCCCGCTTATACGGAATTCAGATATCCTGAAACCTCGGTTCCCGGACGAATTTAATTCAAAACGAAATAATTACTATATAAATTTACCCGTATATACGGAAATTCAGTTTCCGGAACCGGATGGTCATTTTCATACACAATGCAAAACACTGAAATGCACATAAAATTGTCTCACTTGTCCCGGACAATTCACGTCCGCTGGTGGTAATCCTTTGATTCGTGAGAAGTCAAATAACCAAGTGACACTGAGTTACGTTTGAGACGAGCTTGTTTATTGTACATGTACATGTAGTAGGTAGAATCTGAACAATCTAGAAATTTTAGAAATTAATTTGACAGATTCTCTGTACTCCAAACATTCTTGTATATTTGGTGTACATATGCAAGACAATGTGGATGTTGATGTTTTATAGTTTCCTGAACTGGGTCGAAGTTTCTGCTGGTGGACTGAAGTCACCGAGTTTCATCATAAACTCAGTAGCATTTATCTATGATTAGTCAACTACAAAACACATGTTAAGGCAGAGACATTAATACTGCCCTTCCACCAACTGTATTGCAAAACGAATACGTCATTCTCTTTAGGCGTAAGCAGCAGAATATCTGCAATTGTACGCAACAGACCAAATTCGAAATCAAGATATCACTTCTAGTTTCAACAGAAACGGTAAACGCCATATGGCGTCACTGGATTGTCTGGTCTGGTCACGATTGTTTACAGGCTGTTGTCGTATAGAAGAAGTGCTGCGGTGCGCTGTAAGGCAACAAAGGAACGCTTACTTTGTCATGCAGATTGTGTGAATGAAATAAAATCGATGGTCCAGTATGATTCTATGAGAAACAGTATTGTAATGTAGACGTCAGAACACTGTGTATGTCGGGGTTGATGCGTAGGGACAGGAGGTCGTCGTCGTGGCGCCGTGCCTGAGTTTAACTCAGAAAGATGGTTTATAACTGTGGGAGAACGATTTTGAATATGCGTGCACCCCTTCTGTTTTTCACACAGCAGATGCAGCATGAAACTAATTACAAGACAACGCCATGTGTGTAGATTTTTAAAACTCATAAATGTATCAAGAATAGAAAGGAAGCATATTGTCCATATAGTGTCCATATATGTCAAAATTGTGTTTCACTTTCAGCATGTCCACAGGGATTTTATGGTGAATCCTGCAAGTACACATGTAGTGTTGGCTGCAGAGACCAGAATAGCTGTTCTCCTCGAATCGGGTTTTGTTATGGTGGCTGTGGGCACGGATGGCTCGGTGACAAGTGTACAGAAAGTAAGTCCTTAAGTAATCGTTGTGAGTACTCTTGTGACACAACCAATACTGCATTCACATTCACTGCACAATGCAGCTCATGATGCACTCTCTGCACGCGGAATGCGCTGCACAATGTGTCATCCAGATGTGATTTATATGCATTTTAGAGATGAATTTCCGTATTCTGTATTTGTTTCAGAGTGCCCTAACGGTACTTTTGGCGATGGCTGCAGCTTTAAATGCAACAGCAACTGCAACAACGGTGTATGCAACAATGTAAACGGCGAATGTTCTCAAGGCTGTGTTCCAGGATTCCAAGGTTCACAATGCGATCAAGGTCAGATACTGACGTTGATGAAATGCATTATATGAAGTAATACTCTACGTAACTGTGTGCATGACAGTGTTTTATTCTATAGGGGAGGGAGGAATGATGGCAGAACAAAAGCGTTGACAAGAAAACAATGTGTACCTGTATTTTGTCATAAAGTATATGTGATCTTGATGAAATTGTTTTTCTGAAGGATTTAAGTTTGTAACTTAATAACTGTACAGTTGTGCAGTTGTGTCTGTTCTCTTCCGACGCGTCAAATGCATTGTATATTGAGAATATATTTTCTCACGGACACATATGCATTAAAAATCGGTAAAAGGAAAATGCATCGACATACATAAACCTTTCACTCTCTAAACACATGTAAACGAGCAAAATTATGCATTATTAAATTTGATTAGCATGCATATAGCTAGTCAATGCAAAGCTATAATGGGATATTATTACAAATGCTGTATGGATGTCTTCAGCCTGCACGAATGGAACGTACGGCCCGGGGTGTAGGGAGGACTGCAGCGAAGGTTGTCTGGATGGCGGATGCGACGGGACGGACGGGGCATGTCAGTGTGATGATGGCTGGAGGGGAGACAGGTGTCATTTAGGTGGGTGTGACAGTAATGTACCTACGTCTTGTAATAAATTGCTTTAAAACATGCATGTTACGTTACAACCAACAGCATTAACTGAGTTTTGAAAAGGGAGCTAACTCTGGTCGTTAGGGGAGGGGAGGGGAGACAGGTGTCATTTAGGTGGGTGTGACAGTAATGTACCTACGTCTTGTAATAAATTGCTTTAAAACATGCATGTTACGTTACAACCAACAGCATTAACTGAGTTTTGAAAAGGGAGCTAACTCTGGTCGTCGAGACATGGTGCTGGCCTCTCACCAGTCACAGGTCTCCATTGATCAGCTTCGGGTTATTTCACATCGCTGAAGTCTCCATGCATTTACAAAGATACACACAATTCGTTTACTATAACGGATATTTATAAATAAGTTCGAGAACCCCAATAGAGAAAGGTATAGAACATTTTGCCACATGCTCTGTGATTATGTAGCTACGTTCCTGTTAAATATAGGTAATATTCATCTCCCAGGTAAATATCCTTTACGAAGTCTAAGCTAATTGTATTTCCGTTTGAAAAAAAATGTAGTGACACGGGATACAGTTACATCTCTCTTGTCAAAGGTTCAGTGCAATTTGTAAAAAATGAAAGCAACCGTTTTCCGATGTTCTTCAGACTGTGATCCAGGATACTATGGCCCCGGCTGTGCCGTGTCTTGCAGTCCGAACTGTGCAGGTACCAGTTGCGGAAGGTCGACCGGGTTGTGCTTCAGCTGCCAGTCAGGGTGGGCGGGAGAAACATGTCAGCAAGGTAAATATACCGCTGGTTCAACTTTATTTTATGGATAACAACTTCTCGTTTACTGATAAATGCATAAAGTTCTATTCTTATTTATATTGTAGACTTCTCGACATCTAACTTTTGATTAAATCACGTACACGTATTTGGAAAAAAAGCTATTGCGGTGAAAAAGGATAGCGTGTGTTTGAAAATATTTAATGATATTTTTTATGCAAGTGGGAGAATGGGATGTAAAGATAACTGTTCTGTGGAAAATGGCGTCCTCCGCATCATGTGATTCAGCAGAAAGGAACATCGAAAAATGATTCAAGATCGAAATCGAAAACCTGCAGCGATCTCCGTCGTTTCTATTTTGACTTTTAATTCAAAGGGTTTTTTTCGATTAAATTTGAAAAGAAGCGATTTTGGTGAGGATAGGTAATTACAATTTGAACACATTTAATTAAATGTATGACATGCAAGATGAGTGTCCGTGCCGTCATCCCACCACGACGTTACAGCCTGTACAACAGCAGTATGTATACACAGTGTTATGTGGTAAGCGTTAACCCGCCACGACGTTACAACCTCTACAACAGCAGTATGTATACACAGTGTTATGTGGTTACCGTAATCCCACCACGACGTTACAGCTTCTACAACAGCAGTATGTATACACAGTGTAATGTGGTTACCGTTAACCCGCCACGACGTTACAACCTGTACAACAGCAGTATGTATACACAGTGTTATGTAGTTACCGTTATCCCACCACGACGTTACAACCTGTACAACAGCAGTATGTATACACAGTGTTATGTGGTAAGCGATATCCCACAACGACGTTACAGCCTCTACAACAGCAGTATGTATAAACAGTGTTATGTGGTTACCGTTAACCCGCCACGACGTTACAACCTGCACAACAGCAGTATGTATACACAGTGTTATGTGGTAAGCGTTATCCCACCACGACGTTACAGCCTCTGCAACAGCAGTATGAATACACAGCGTTATGTAGTTACAGTTATCCCACCACGACGTTACAGCCTGTACAACAGCAGTATGTATACACAGTGTTATGTGGTTACCGTTAACCCGCCACGACGTTACAACCTCTACAACAGCAGTATGTATACACAGTGTTATGTGGTTACCGTAATCCCACCACGACGTTACGGCCTCTACAACAGCAGTATATATACACAGTGTTATGTGGTTACCGTTAACCCGCCACGACGTTACAACCTCTACAACAGCAGTATGTATACACAGCGTTATGTGGTTACAGTTATCCCACCACGACGTTACAGCCTCTACAACAGCAGTATGTATACACAGTGTTATGTGGTTACCGTTAACCCGCCACGACGTTAAAACCTCTACAACAGCAGTATGTATACACAGTGTTATGTGGTTACCGTAATCCCACCACGACGTTACAGCCTCTACAACAGCAGTATGTATACACAGTGTTATGTGGTTACCGTTAACCCGCCACGACGTTACAACCTGTACAACAGCAGTATGTATACACAGTGTTATGTGGTTACCGTTATCCCACCACGACGTTACAACCTGTACAACAGCAGTATGTATACACAGTGTTATGTGGTAAGCGTTGTCCCACAACGACGTTACAGCCTCTACAACAGCAGTATGTATACACAGTGTTATGTGGTTACCGTTAACCCGCCACGAAGTTAAAACCTCTACAACAGCAGTATGTATACACAGTGTTATGTGGTAAGCGTTATCCCACCACGACGTTACAGCCTCTGCAACAGCAGTATGTATACACAGCGTTATGTGGTCACAGTTATCCCACCACGACGTTACAGCCTCTACAACAGCAGTATGTATACACAGTGTTATGTGGTTACCGTTATCCCACCACGACGTTACAACCTCTACAACAGCAGTATGTATACACAGTGTTATGTGGTAAGCGTTGTCCCACAACGACGTTACAGCCTCTACAACAGCAGTATGTATACACAGTGTTATGTGGTTGCCGTTATCCCACCACGACGTTACAGCCTCTACAACAGCAGTATGTATACACAGTGTTATGGGGTTACAGTTATCCCACCACGACGTTACAGCCTCTACAACAGCAGTATGTATACACAGTGTTATACGGTTGCCGTTATCCCACCACGACGTTACAGCCTCTACAACAGCAGTATGTATACACAGTGTTATGTGGTAAGCGTTGTCCCACAACGACGTTACAGCCTCTACAACAACAGTATGTATATACAGTGTTATGTGGTTGCCGTTATCCCACCACGACGTTACAGCCTCTACAACAGCAGTATGTATACACAGTGTTATGTGGTTACCGTTATCCCACCACGACGTTACAGCCTCTACAACAGCAGTATGTATACACATTGTTATGTGGTAACCTTTATCCCACCACGACGTTACAGCCTCTACAACAGCAGTATGTATACACAGCGTTATGTGGTAACCGTTATCCCACCACGACGTTACAGCCTCTACAACAGCAGTATGTATACACAGCGTTATGTGTTTGCCGTTAACCCATCATGATGTCACAGCTTCGACAGCAGTATGTATACACAGCGTTATGTGTTTGCCGTTATCCCATCATGATGTTACAGCTTCGACAGCAGTATGTATACACAGCGTTATGTGTTGCCGTTCACCCATCATGATGTTACAGCTTCGACAGCAGTATGTATACACAGCGTTATGTGTTGCCGTTCACCCATCATGATGTTACAGCTTCGACAGCAGTATGTATACACAGCGTTATGTGTTGCCGTTCACCCATCATGATGTTACAGCTTCGACAGCAGTATGTATACACAGCGTTATGTGTTTGCCGTTCACCCATCATGATGTTACAGCTTTGACAGCAGTATGTATACACAGCGTTATGTGTTGCCGTTCACCCATCATGATGTTACAGCTTCGACAGCAGTATGTATACACAGCGTTATGTGTTGCCGTTCACCCATCATGATGTTACAGCTTTGACAGCAGTATGTATACATACTGTTGTGTGTTTGTGCTTACAGCTGAAGGGATGCCTGCGTCTGCGATCGGCGGGATCGTTGCAGCTGGCCTGTTCATCATTCTCCTTGCAGTCATCATTGCTGTGGTTCTGCTCAGGTTCGATCACACTTGTTTGCTTTGAGAAATCAATCAATATATAAAACATTGAACATGCAGGCTATGGATGTCATCGTCTCTAAATCGCAGTCAAGTGTTTTTTGTTGAACAGTCTTCAGTTCATGTGTCAGTACTTGAGCTACATTATAAGCAAGGCAAATTATGTTTACTATTTCAGGAGCAGCGTTAAAATACACTCACTCATATATGTGAACATTTAATACGTTATAGAAAACTATTACTGTGTTTCATTTGAGAATTGTATTCGAAACGAAATTATTTTTTTAACATGGTTTGCATTTCTTTTGATCTTGATTCCCTTTCTCTGTTTGTGTTATTGTAGACGGAAATCTGGACGTAAAGAAGAACAGGGTGTTCGGAACGACAACACGCCCGCCACTACCAGCCACTCAGTTAAAATGATAACAATTAACAAATCCTCCTCTTCGCCGACTCCGAAGAAAGGTGGGTGTTCCTGACGTTTATACCAGATTTATAATCTTACGTAGGTGTCTAACGAAGCCCAGATATGGTGTAGATGCATTCATTATACAGACATTAAAAAAAACTGATCTGTGTCGAAAATGTGTTCATACAGTTGACACTTTGAAGGTGATGAATTCCATGTACAAGCATTTTGACCATCATATAGAGATATGAGAATTAAGCAACTGTCTGATTATTAAGTCTTTGATATGCTTTTAGAAGTTGGAAGAACACGAAGACATTATACTGTCCGTGCACCGTACTTACCTCGCTTCCCATTGGCGTCCCAGATATATATTGTTATATTTGAACATTAATCCTAACTTGTTTGTTGTGTGTTTGTTGTTTAACGCCGCAATATTCCAGCTATATGACGGCGGTCTGTAAATAATCTGGATCGGACAATGCAGTGATTGACAGCTATCATGAGCAGCTATCCACGCAATGGGGATGGATGACATGCATCAACCAAGTCAGCGAGCCTGACCATGTTTTACATATATATATAAAATCCATTCACTGATGAAGTGTGTGTGTGTGTTAGGGGGGGGGGGGGGGGGGGGGGAGGGGAGGGGGGAGGGGGGGGGCGGTCGGGTAGCCCAGTGGGTAAAGCGTTCGATCGTCACGCCGAAGACCAGGGTTCGATTCCCGACATGGGTACAATGTGTGAAGCACATTTATGTTGTCCCCCCTCCCAATCCCCCCCCCCCCCCCACGTCGTTGGAATGTTGTTATTTATAAAAGTTACATGTCTTCACATCTGGTTATTATTAAAACCCTAGCCTGTACAGCTAATGAACATCCGGAATGGTTGGAGTTCTTGTGAGATTTTCACCATTTAATCATAATGCAGTGAAACGTTTCCCGTACTGTTTCCCTGTTACATGACACGATTCCTGTACAAAATGTCAGTGTCCTATTGGCTTCATGGCCTTGTATGCACGACATAAAGGTGTCCGTATTCATGATGTCATACACAATTAATCGTATGTATGCCTGTCCCGGGCGCTAGCATAGCAGTGAGAAGGACAAAACAGAAGTCAAACATAATTTGGCTGATAATAAGATGTTGTCAACAACTATGAAGAATTAGATACGTGTTTGTCGTAATTTTACTTTGACGATGGGTTTCCATTTAAAGGAAGTTTCGTCAATCTGTATTGTACACAGTCATTGCAATATTTACGTCTAATAACAGATTTCATTCTTAAAACTTGGTGTGTTCCCCTATTGTCTATCCAAGGATGAGATACGGATGAATGTATGAAACGTACTTTTGACAAAAATAGAATGCATATATGTAAAATAAACTTTACCTTTCAAGGGGGATCATCCCAGATTTCCCTGCTGGGGACATCTACTGACAACAACGTGGACGGTGCTGGCGAGGTGTACTACAACATAGCATCTACATCCAGGTCAGCAACGGCAGTGTCCCTGGAGGACTTCCCACAGTACGTCGGAAAGTGGCGGTCAAAGAAACAACACTTTTTTGACGAGTTTCAGGTAAACAAGGCCCACCTTGTATTATCAAGCATAATGTGCAGTAAAGAACGCGTCTAACATGGTTCTACAATTTTCAACATTTCTTTCGTAATGAAATTGACATTTAAAGACACTGCCGTAAGCCATCTCCGAGTTTTTATATGTCGTTAAATAATAGCAATAGCGTTTCATGTCGTTAAATAATAGCAATAGCGTTTCATGTCGTTATATGATAGCAAGAAAACACATTTGATACATTCCTACTCCCCTGCCTTATATTTGATGCTCTGAATGAAATCGTTTGAAAATATTTTTTTTAATAAATATTGAAAGATATAGTGTTTGTAAATATGTAAAAATATATTGTTTGTAAATATGTATAAATATATTGTTTGTAAATATGTATAAATATATTATTTGTAAATATGTATAAATATATTGTTTGTAAATATGTATAAATATATTGTTTGTAAATATGTAAATGTATCAAAACAAATCAAACAAATACTCCATGACATGATATGGGTGAGGATCGTTCACATTAATAACAAGGCGTTTATGATGTTATCGTTGGCAATGCTACACCAATGCTGTGCATCATCGTAGATAACAAATGGTATAAAGTTACCTTCACTTCCTTACAGAAACTTCCGAAGGACCTTATCAATGACCACAGCATCGCCTTTGCTGCTCACAATATCAAGAAAAACAGATACAAGAACATCTGCGCATGTAAGATGTGTGTTTAATATGTGTCATTTAATCACATGGAATTAACAAATGTGTCTTAAATTTGTTTTATTATAAGCTTCAGAAGGCCTACTTCAGCTTTGTGACGGTAAATATACGTTTTAATTGAGCGTTAACGTTTCAAGAAATATTATATTCATATCTTGACGTTGCATGTAAAGAGCTGGAGACGCATTGTGAACCAAAACGGATGTCAATAAATATGTAAAACAATTTAAACACTTAATCGCTTTATCAGTGGACACACATTATCATCACTTATATACATAATTTGGATTGAGTTTTGAAACCCATTCGTAAGTGCTGCACATTAAAATCTCGAACCAAATTATAGAGATCTGAACTGGATCACATGTCGCGATGTGAAGTATCACGGCTGGCCTAGTGGTCTAAGAAACTGCGCAGAGTTAAGTCACTTATCTCGTCATGGGTTTTAATCCCACATTCCTCTCAATCATGTTTCCTTACTACCATCTCCTGCTGGCTGGTTTCACAAAGCATTGTGTGCGTCTGTAATCCGCATCATGTTTGTACCATGTTACGTCAAACTCACGCGCCGCGACACACTCTTTAAAACGTCTTGAAGACACGACCCCCTTAATCACACACATGCTGTGTAGCGTTCAGCTAGTGAAATAGGCCCCAAGCAACCTATGCTGGTCGTACAAGACGGCCAAATGGACATGACTCGTCAGTTCCGGTGACTCGACTGATTGCGTGTCTTTGACGCATCAGTGAATAAATGATGTCCGATGCAGTTCCCTTTTGTGACTTGTACCTTATGCTCCCATGATTTTTTCAGGTGAACAATTAATTTGCCTTTGCATGTTTTCGTGACGGGTGCCACCGGTGGGGCAGGATAAGCTCACTTTTCGCGAATACCTGGTATCATCACTATTTGATAGTGTTTCATAAACACATGCTCATGATATAGTCGGAATCGTACAATCGACTCTGCTATATCTTAGAATGGAAAGGGCTTTGCCGCTTTTATTTGTACCCCGGCGGCGTGGATCGTTGCTCATGATGTCGATCACTGCAGTTGTCTAGTCCAGACTCGCTTATTTACAGGCCACCGTCATGTAGCTGGAACATTGCTGTGTGTGACGTTAAACACATGCAAAAACACAAAAAAAACACTGAGACACACACACATACACACACACGCACGCACACACGCACACACACACACACACACATACACACTCAGAGACAAACATTTAGACACTTTCAATAGCCGTTTTGTTAATTATCTACCAACAGATCATGTCACGTTCTTACATTTCAGTTGACCACTCGCGAGTTGTTCTCCAGGCTGATCCCGGTGATACTGGGGTCGGGGACTACATCAACGCTTGCTACATAGACGTATGTACGACGTACAACACGCTTCTCACACATATACATGTGCATTGCCTATATTATCAGTAATGTTCAGACTGTAGTGCAGGGGAGATAACCTTGACTCCCGGATGCACAACTGCATGTAAACACTGACGTCAAGGAATATGTTTCTGGGAATATGTTTGCGTCAGGAATACAATGTTGTGAATATTTAAATTGAGCGAGTGGGTGAGTATGGTTTAAAGCCGCTTTTAGCAATATTCAAGCAATTTCACAGCGGGGGACAGCAGAAATGGGCTTCACACCTTGTACCCATGTCGGTAATCGAACCATGATCTTCGGCGTGACGAGCGAACGCTTTAACCACTAGGCTACCCGACGCCCCACACCTAAACTGAGATGAAACTAGACGAATTTCGTATTCTAAGCAATCTTCCACCTATTCCACTGAGAATGGCGTGTGTGTGATGATTCGTTTGTGCGGAGCATTAAAGCCGAACTGTTATTACCAAGGTTGATTGTATACATGGTCATGCTAAACGACATGTTGTGATTTTTATTTTATTTGCATTGATAAAGAAACACTCATTTGCTGAATTCTTTACAATTCTAGACGCCAAAGAAGAAGAACGCTTTCATCGCAGCTCAAGGTATCGACCTCATTACGATATTTTAAAAACATATTGATATAATGTCAACAAAGTCTCCATGCTGTAAACACTTTCAAGAGGATAATTCCGTGTTTGTCCATGATATGGAAATATCAAAATATAATACCTGTCTGATTTCTACAAAAGCGAACAACAGATGAAAACACTGTGTAGGTCAACGCTTCCCGTTCTTGAAACGTGTTCAACAAGGGAAGTTAACATGTAGCATATAATCTTATTACATGTAAATCTATTGACATACTGTATGACTATGGCGCTCCATGACACGCTTCTGTGTTCTCAGCCAGTAACCTCATGATCATATTTGATGTCTTGGAAAGTGATAAATATAAGTAAGTTTCCGTTTACAACAGTGCATAGTTTGGACAAACATATTTCCCTCCCGTTGCTATAACCTTTGTAGCATTATATTAAAATAAAACAACTGCACGTCTTGCCTTCGATTGACCGTTAAGATGCTTACCACCAATTGAACCGTATTTCCCTCACCATACATGGACCACAGAATATGTATCACTTAATAGATGATTGTGGGTTGCATTCATTGCTTGTAGAGGTAGAAGAGCAACATACTTAATAAAACATTCTCTTCCATTCTACTCTCATTCTCAGCCCTTTAGGTATTCCCGAAATTAATGGGCTTGTAGGTGACTTTGTGGTTTTGATATTACACATAACTTTATAACGGGGACTATATGTAAGTCGAGGAAGACGTGTAGCACAGAAGGAATACTTCGGTCTTTCTTCGTTGTGCTATGTTATTTGAGTTGCTTCCATCAATCTACTCGCAGGTCCCAACGACATCATCCTCAACGACTTCATTCGGATGTTATGGGAACTTGACGTTTCGAGAGTTGTCATGCTGACGAATCTGTTTGAGGAAGGAAAGGTTAGTAGAATATATACACTGTAGAAATAATAGTAGTTAATGACAATGTAGACACGACTTATGGACAATAAATTCTTAGATGTACTATTATAGCCTAGGGAATCGATAATAGTACAATGAGGAAGGTGTTATCCATGCATTGTGTCTACTTTGCAATCCATCAACTTCAAAGAAATGTCTATTAAACAATTTAGTAGTTATTGAATAGCCTTGCGTAGTCGTTAAGCTATATTCTCACATTATTCTTTACAATTGTTTACAATGTATCATATTTAATGATGTCACGTGGTGCTGAGACATGAACGTACTTTAAACGGCATATGGGCCAGGTGAAACAGTTAGGTGATGAACACATATTCATTATGATGAAAGTAGAATCGTCGTATAAATCATGCACTCTTTACAAGAAGAGGACAGAAATGTATAAGAGGATTTCGAAAGCGGAATTTAGATTAATGGCGTTTGGTTAACACTCAGGATTTAAGCACATGAGAAATTGAACTACCCAGCGGTCAATGGCATCCTACTTTCGTCTGCAGCATTTCGTCTCTTGGCAATAACCAGGATCTATAGTGTGAGACAGTCAAAACGTATAAAATATCCTGATCAGTTTATTCAAATATTCACTCAAAGACTGAAGGATACGTATATTCAGAAATTTTCTATTATCACCAACATCTGAAAACTATGTAATGTTCAAGTCCCAATTTAAATCTGAAGAGTCTTTTAATACACTTCTCCCTAAATTTAGAAAGCCCTTTTCACGAATAGGATGTTCTTCTCATAGCCTTCAGATTAAACCAGGAAGATACACAAAGGTACCAAAAGAATTGAGAGTATGTAAACTTGCCACACACACGAAATTGAAAATGAATATAACTTAGTCTTTATATGTTCAGAATTAGGGCATTTGCGTAAACAACACTTGTGCCCTTAAATGTACCTAATACCAAATATTTATACATTTCTCGAACTGATGTCTACTGAAAATATAACTGTACTAAACCGTGTTACAGAATATACACTTATGGAAATGAATTATATAAATACTTTATTATATGGATTAATTTAACTATATCAAATGCACAGGCCACTATCCACACACATTTTACTATAGACCTCAGTATTTGTGAATAAGGATTGATTGAATAATTGGTTAATATCGGTCACATATTCGCCCCGATTACGAACCCTAGTATGTCAGCAAAATCAAATGATGATATGTGTTGCAAAAGCGTTAAGGCTGCGACTGTAGGATTGTTCAAAGCATTACGAACCCTAGTATGTCAGCAAAATCAAAATGATATGTGTTGCAAAAGTGGAAAGGCTACGACTGTAGGATTGCGCAAAGCAAAACTCTATAGAATTCGTGCATCATTGCAGCAAAAGTGTCACCAGTACTGGCCTGATGAGGGAGAAGAGATGTTTGGGAAGGTGTCCGTCAGTGTTAGAGACACGATACAGCACGCTGACTACACGGTCAGGAAGTTTAGCTTGAGGAAAGTGAGTATGTCAACAAAGAGTAGTAAGTGTGACAATAAATAATTATCTGTAGAGTGGTGCCTTCTTTATAGGTAATTATATCGAAGAGCCTACAGGTTCGACATGTCAGTATTGCGCAGTACACGTGTGTATTACTGTTGTAACGAGGTGCGGTGAAATTGGGATTTAACGTCGCTTCCAAGATTATTGCAAGTACATGCAAGTTTGTCTGTGTGTGTTTGGCTGCTTGTACTAGTCCGGACTGATGCCGATTTATAGTGGTAGCTCACTGAGATATCATGCCACAGTTTAACATGAATACTCCACTCAGACACAGTATACTGACTCCGAACCGACCAGTCCTTGTTTGAGCCCCTTAATCCCGAGCGCCAGACATGGTAACAACAAGTACCATTTTTTAACGTCTTTTGGTATGACGCGGCCATGGATCGAAACCCGAACCTTCCGCTCTCCGGGCGGACGCTCTACCACTAGACCTCGGAGGCGGTCACTGTTGTAACGAAAGTAAACATGACGTCAACAGTGGCATATATATATATATATATATTGCATCAGAAACACATGTATTCTGTCAACACTGATGTAGAGCGTGTGAAAAAATGTATCCACGTGTGCTTCGTGATTTTTCATTAACCTGCTCATCCAAGGGAATAGAATTTATTGATGCCAGACTTCTTTATTATGAAGAACATCACCTGATGAAGGAGAAAGCATACACTCCGAAACGTTGTGTTCCTTATAATAAAGAAGTTGACATCCATAAATTCTCTTCCTTATGTGTATCACTTTTAAATGCCTTTCAAAGACTTGCTCATCTATGACCATATACCATTAAGACTAATCATTAACACGATTTGTCATTAACCAAATGTTGCTGTGATGATATGTCTCACTTGCTTTTACCTCTCCACGCATAGCGTATCCAGCATGTAGCTAACTGAAATCAGTCGTGCACATCTGAAGAATGGTATTGACCTTAACACTAACGGTTACTATTTTTCACTTTTCAGTGAGTAGAGGACCCTCATTCCGCCTCCGTTTTATATCAAATTAACTGTTTTAATTCCTATATGTGTAGGAAGGATGCAAGGCGCGGTCGGTGACACAGTTCCACTACACAGCGTGGCCAGACAAGGGGGTCCCAAAGTCGGCTTGGTCCCTTCTGGACTTCCGGGACAAGGTCATGAACGTCCGGTCGTCCGGTGATAGTCCAGTCGTCGTCCACTGCAGGTAAATACACGCTTCGTTTTATGTGAAGGATAACCAATTGTAAGAATGTCTCAAAAGATCTATTCATGAGACAATTTTTATGTTACACCTTACACATGTGTACTCGTATAAGCATATGTTTTACCTTACGGCGACTGTTGTGAAATTTTCCCTGAATCGAACTGCGATCACCTTGACATGATCGCGGAAGAGTCTCAGTGATGAGGCTATTTTCACGATGCTGCTTCAACGATCATATAATCAGCTGATGGTTTTAGTACTCTAGAGCTGGGTTATGTTTACGCGAAACTCTTTACCCACACATAACCTTATCTACCGACCGCCTCCGGGGTCTAGTGTTAGAGCGTCCGCCCGGGGAGCGGAAGGTCCGGGGTTCGACCCCTGGCTGCGCCATACCAAAAGACGATAAAAGATTGTACTTGATGTTACCCTGTCTGGCGCTCGGCATAAAGGTGCTAAAACAAGGACTGTTCGGAGTCAGTATGGGGTATTCTGAGTGGGGTATTCATGTTAAACTGCGGCATGGCATGGCACTATTAATCGGCATCAGTCCGGACCAGTACAAGCATCCACTCTCTCACACGTGCATGCACGTCGCTATAAAAGTGCAATAATCTTTGACGCGACGTTAAACCCCTTTTCACCTCACTTTTACTGATCATGAGTACTCACTGGGGTTCGCGAAGATAGCTTCTTATTCCCTTTTCAATGTTCAAACACGAAGCTGTTTTTCGCCGTTTCGTTTTTGCTCATCTAATTTATATATGTCCTTTTTCACACTTAGAGTTGTTAGCTCCTTGTTCTTCTTGTTCTGCGTATTTCATATTCTCATCCGGGGGAAATACTCTTTTATGAATATCGATTGTACATTGATTGAACACCACGTGGATATCACGGCACTCTATGTCACGGTCACGTTTAACACGTAATGGTTCATTTACGATAACGTGTTTCAGCGCTGGGATAGGACGAACGGGTACGTTTATAGCTCTCCAGTATCTCAAGGAAGAAGCGGAACTCAGCGCCTTGCAGGATGTGTACACGTGTGTGTGGAGCCTCAGACATCAACGTGTCAATATGGTGCAAACCAAGGTGGGATCAGTATATCTTTAACCCATCTTCCCGAGGCAAGAGAGTTAACTGACTTTAAAAGTCCAGTTTCCACCCTTGCCGAACTAGGCTGGAATTACTGGGCTCGATCGTAGCGCCACCAGTGGCTATTACCAGTTATGTCCCTTCTTAGCCTCTCCTATGGACCAATCAGATTCCACCGCTCGTATCACTTGCGTTTGCTTCACACAAAATAGTGGCGCCCAGTCATCACTATATTGTGATAAAACGGGCCTTACATCGCGAAATGCATTAGATCACGTGAGCACCTTGATTAAAAACATGAACAAATCGGAAAATATCTTCTGACAACGAGTTTGAGGTGCACATGCTTTGCAAATCCTGCAATCGACCGAAATCTGCATGGGACTCGCTAGTCCAGCCAAAATGTAACTCCATAATACCAGCCTAGTTCGGCAAGGGTGGAAACTGGACTTTTATAGTCAGTTAACTCTCTTGACTCGGGAAGATGATCTTTAATCATAACCATACATTCTTTAACTACAAACACACAATCACGCGAACGATACTTAATCCGGGCAAAATATATGCAGGTCGTAGGCATCCGGTATAGATGATGGATGTAGGATATCGCTGATTTTTAGAGCAAAGGAACATAACTCTTACCAACATAATAAGACAAGATTCGCGGATTATGCCACGTGTTGTAAGAGGTCAACTACCAATTTCACCATGCATATTGTTTGTTTTAAGTGATATGCGATACTTATATTAATACACATTAATGTGGTGCCGTATATATGTCTGTTCAGAACCAATACGTCTTTATCCACGAAGCTGCTCTTGGGTCTTTGATTTCAATGAAAGGCGTGTCCTCAGTTGACAAGTTCCGTCAGCAGTACGACAGTCTCATCAGTGACCAGCAACGTTTACAGAGGGAGTTTCAGGTAGGTTGTGCTGGACCAATAGAAAGATTGCATTAAGCTAACATGGAGGGTAAATCTGGTTGAAATAGTTCATATTTGTTTAGATACACGCCATTACATGTATGCACCATGACATCATCGTAGGGGATATTTTATGTAAGCTAAGGATCGAATCCTAGATTTACACCAAAGCGTTAATCGTATATTGCTTGAATAATTGTAATCTCTCCCGCATCAAACTGACATAACGCGATGTTACAAACATACCAGACACAGCGGCGTAAATCTCAGCTCAATCACTTATCTAACCCTATCTGTTTTCTGGGATGTAGACCCTCCAAGACTACCCGTTCTGTGACTCTGAAGGAGAGTACAGCAGGGCACTGAAGAACAGTGAGAAGAACAGAAGCGACACGATATTAGCAGGTAGGACAACGCTCTTGAAAGCCCAATTATTGTCCTGTTTGGGTAAACCGATATGAACAGAATCTGGTAATATTACCGCTTCGTTTTTGAAATACAGAATATTTGGAACATCAATAGTCGGTTTCAAAATTTGTTTGCTGCTGGGAATCGAACCTGGGTAGTCTTCATGGGGCGTGTTGACCGTTAACCACCCCTAAGTTATTAGTGGAGTAATCTTTTACACTTGCGGTATTAGATTTGACATACATGCTTAGAATCGTTGTGTCCTTTGTTTGATTAGGTGATTCTTCTCGAGCAATCCTGATGCCACGTGCTGAATATAACGACATGGGCGGCACGTACATCAACGCGGTCTTCCTACCCGTGAGTATACGTAGTGGATGTAGCATCAGTGGATGCGCTCACCTGTTGTACGGTCATGACTAATACGATGATATTAAACCGAGTATGAGACAGTTAAATACACACTAAAAATAGTGTTTTCTATTAAGTCTTCAGCTTTACTTCTGCAAATCCGGTTGTTCAACAGATTAGCATCTACTCGTAATTTCAGTTTTTCTTATAATTAAGCCTCAGCTTCATAACAACTCAAACGAGAATCTATCATTACATACGTCGATAAAATACAATCAGTGAACTCGAACTCATGTTACAGTTATCTCAATGATGTAACGTTAACCTGACAGAATCGTTCTCGACATCGCATGCCTCGAGCTATAGATAACTCGACGTGTAAACTATGTTTGCTTGTTGGTTGTTTAGCGACGACAAGGGTTGGTTACTGAAGATCAATTTCAACACGCATCTTAACTGGTGTCTGTCTATTCATTGACCCAGTGGTTTTAAGAAAGAGTTTTAAATTTTGAAATTACATACGAGTTGAAAAGAAACCTCCAGTCATATTACATTCAGGTGTTCGGCGACAGTCATTGGAATTTCTGAGTTCGAGATTATGGTTATTGCTATTTTAAATATATATAGAACACGCTGCAGCTAAATAATACGATATTGGAATACATAATTCCTGATATAATAACGGTTTCGGATTCATTCCTACCATTGCATCCAAGTCCTTTAAGTTATATTATTGTTTTTTTTATCTGAATTGGCTTCGTAGCAGTTGGATAGGGGAGGTAACTGACAATTGATGTATGTACACTACAGGGCTGTTATTAATTAAATTATTACAATGTTCGTTGACTTCAGGGCTTCGAGAAAACTCAGAAGTTCCTCCAAACCCAAACTCCCCTGGCGAACACAGTGTTCGACTTCTGGCGCATGGTGTCCGACTACAAGGTGGCCAGGATCATCATGCTGGATGACTACACAGCCAAGGACGAGGTAACAACATCTCAAGTGTAACACAGCAGATGTAGTCTACAAATTAATAGGCGATAATTTGAATGTTCTGTGTGCATCGGAGAGCGAAAGGAATTCTATCAAAGAGGAAAAAGATATATTGTCACAACCTGTATGGCAAAATACGAATATAAGAGTCGGGATGTAATGTGTCCCCAAAACAAAAATGGTTCCTATATAGTAGTATTTATAAAAAAATTACCTGCAAACGAGTTACTGCACTAAACGGGATATAAAGAATCATTTCTTTGCACTTTTTTGTAAACGCGAGAAAAACAAACCTTAGTGCACATGTAATGTGAGTGTGAAGTTGTGAAACATGTCTGGAACAACCTTGCAAAATGGATCAAAGACAAAACTGGAAAAGAACTAGAATTTTCAAAATTGACAATTTTATAAGGATATTAAAAAAACCCGAAATGATGTATTAAATCATATTGTAACTGTAACAAAGCAAAACATAAAAAAATCAAACATTTCCGACTCCATACTAAATTTCCAACACATATTACATCGACAGAAATATATCATATTCACAATGTAAATACACACAGTTCATGAAGTTTGGTCACTCTGTCACCACCTATTCGTGTAAACCCACGAACTTACATAATCCAAAAAAGATCCCTTAGCATCCTGACACTGGAATAGTTTTGTTTGTTTCTATCCATAGATATACTTGAAACTTGTATTGATTAAAGATTGCATGTGAACTATATTCTGTAAACTTCTTGTTTGTGTACTGCAAAAAGAAGTAAAAACATAAAGAAAATAATAAGATAAACATTCCTTGTTTATCGTACAATGGAGATGTCTGTTGGAGATGGCTTATAATTATGGAAATGTTTTTTGTTGCTTCTATTTAGTGTTGATGCAGGTTACCTTTGACCGATGTATGATGCAGATACCGGTTTTTGATGTTGTGACCCATGTGTTATAAAGTGACTGCTGTGTGATACAGTGAGCTGTGTTTCAGGATACTGCTGTGTACTGGCCGGATGTACACACTCCACTGGAGATTGGACCTTTCCATGTGAAATGCATAAACATTTCCAAGAATAGTGAAATCGTCTTTCGACAGCTGGAACTAAGAGAGGTTGGGTTACTACGAGATATAGCAACTTTTACTCTACATATAATCCTGTTATGACACAAAACTTTTACTTAGATCTCCGTAGGCTACACCGATTAAAGCTTCTATATTTTTATGACAAACGTTACAACCTATGTAATACTCCTTCACTACATGTATAGGAACATGCGCTATACTGTGTTTCATGACGAAAGGTCAGATTTTGCCTCCAGATTTAGACGTGGTGTATAAAAATACAATTGCAATCCAAATATAGTCCATTTCAATGAGTCTGAATGAGTATGGTTTAGTGCCGCTTTCAGCAATATTACATAAATATCATGGCGAGGGACACCAGAAATGGGTTTCACACATTATACCCAAGTAGGGAATCGAACCCGGGCTTTCAATTTGACGAGCGCCATGTCAAAGAACTACCAACTCACATACGTATTGATGTTCTTTTCTTGATTTTCCTTCTTGTTTGAGGAACAAAAATACAAGCGTCCTAAACACCTTCACAGTTCATGATACGTCCTGTCTGTGAGTGCAAGTGATGAACCAAAGCGAAATTTACTGCCGAGAAAGCCCTTTGAGATATGAACACTGGATTCACGTACGCATCTTTCATATGTTAATTTCAAGGCTGCACATTACGATGTTGCGTGTTTCAGGACGATTCCTCCATGAACATAGCTCATTACACAGCCAGGTTCTGGCCAGAGGGAGGCATACCTTCACCGGATTCACTCCTGCAGTTTGTGCGCATGTCGGAAGTCACGACCACAAGAGAAAAATCTCCGATAATAGTACACTGCAGGTGGTGATTTATTCATTTATATATCCCAAATATTAAAACAAAAATGTAACAAATGCATGTTCTCAGTATCAAGAGTGCTATTTACTCACTGAATAGTGGCTATGTTACTCTCAACGGGAGTATGGTGCTGATGGGTATACAACGAAAAGAAAATTTGTAGTCACTTTTGTTAACCCAAGGATTGTCGGATACACGTCACAGAAATACTGATGTGTTTCATGCAAATACTGGAACATATGACTCTATATGTATATGCACGGTTGACTGTAGGTCCGGGGCAGAGAGAAGTGGCCTCTTTTGTGCAGTGGCGGCCATCTTAGAGCGAGTGTCGGTTGACCAGACGGTGGCTGTTCCTGTCGTCGTTGGAAATAACAAGGCTATCAGGAAGCATAATATCCCCAATGTGGTAAGTCAGAACAGTACCGCTTGCAAAAACAGTATTTTGTTCATTTATTATTCTTTTACCAAGAACAAATCGAGTGTCGGATAAGGCAATTCTTTCCCACCACCAAAAGTATGTTTTTATTCTGTTTTAAGTCCCAGTATACGTTGTGCTACAAGATGGTTGCCGAACACTTGGCATCAGAATCAGTCTATTCCAACGGCGTAGATGTCAGTGAAGATGTTGCCGATGAAGAAGGCGATGAAAATGTGTACTCTAGCATAGAGGAACCGATCTACTCAAACCAGTAACAGGACGGAGGGTACTGCTACAGAAAACCTGAAAGGAATGTTAAAATAGTTCCTGCGATGTTACTTTATTCAATACCACGTGTTTCATGCGACATGTTTTGAACGTGAAATATTTTGCCTTTTCGATACAAACATGTTATAAAGGACACATTGTTGGACAGTAATATTCTTGTGACAAGAATATGTTTTGAAAAGTGAGATATTTGTTGTTAAAGTATGTTGTTATTATTATTAGTATTATTTGATGCCATATGTTTATGCTTTTTAGCTGATAATCAACTAGATTCCCATAGTGCTCAGTAGACATAAAAGAGAACTAAAGAGCGAATTGTGGTTAATATGTCAAACGAAATTGAAAAGTAAACGTTTACTGTTATTCATGAAAGTGTATTTAAATATAACAAGTGATGAAGATATCACTCCATGTTTCATTGTTCATCTAGACTGTTGACATATCATATTAATATGATTCTTAAAAATACATGCACTGTTTGTTTTCCATTCAGGGAGCTTCGACAATTAGGGCATCCCTTACAGTACACTTTCAAAGCTTTCAATTCATGAGTAATGTTAGGTTCAGGGCATGGTAGAGTTATTATTTATACACATGTTTTCAACAGCAGCTGGAACAAATAACATGACAGCACAAATCAACAGGACTATTTGTAATGATCTTAAGTCTGATGATATTTTATATTCTAACCAGCGTTAAGTATCTGAAATGGTCCCAATTCCCGTTTTACGCCTAAGGAACACGTTAAAGTGTCACGTAAATGGGAATAAAAAAAAACGGGTTCCATTTGTCATGACTTCATGATGCCAAAATATACGTAAACGACAGATGACATGGATAGAAAATTCCGAAACTACATTCACTGAACTAGGTCTGGTTTCTGTGATTGTGTTGTCAGTTTGTATTTTTTATTTATCCCAATTAACATGTCATCTGTAGTAAATCCTTGTATATAATTACCATGTTACTATTCTTTGTCGACAGGAGTTGTATAATGATTATTAAGTTGTTCTTATCGTGATATGGCTGAAACATTGCGGTGCGATATAAATTTTAACTCACGCACGCACTCACTCTTCAGCATTCCACTCACCGCCCCTTTCACAAGTTATTTTTGCACACTGTCCCTTACAGTACTTTTGAATATACATGTATGAATTTGGTGCTGAGGTCTTGCCTGTAAACATGAACAAAATGTTCCTGTTACCATCTGTGTAAGCTTTTTATAACGAATAAAACATTATTTTATTCTGTCTTGCCACATTGTTTTCTTGAGGGCTGATGCGAATGCAGAAGACTAGATCACAAATTGTGTTCATAAACTGACGCGGGTGTTGAGTTAGCTTCGTGTGTAAGGCAATGCGACCATTTCAACGTTTATGTTAGTAGTACAAAATGTGGGCCTTCATACGACTTTATGCTTCATCAACTTACATGCAGGCGGTTGGGTGGCCTAGTGGTTGAAGCGTTTGCTCGTTACGCCGAGTTAAGACCGAGTTCGATTTCCCACATGGGTACAATGTGTGAAGCCCGTTCTGGTGTCCCCAGCCGTGATATTGCTCGAATATTGCTAAAAGCGGCGTAAAACCATTCTCACTCACTCATTCACTTTAACACATATGCTTGACCTCACATTGAGGGAGGGACATAATGAACAGGTTCGTCCGACCTTAGATACGAAAGCAAAATGCAGAGACGAAATTCGGCATCCGTCCGACATCTTATGTCGATTTGTCATCCCTCTACATAATATATAGGAAACGGTGACACGATTCCATTCTGGTCAGATGATCTGGTGGTCTGGGGGCAACAATGGAAGGCTCATCTTAACAGGAGCTGCTGACAACAAAATTGAACGTATGGACATTTTCGCTTTTAACTATCGGTACGGTATAATATTTCACACAAATACAAATCATCTCTATATTTATAATGACATGCGAATATGGTATTTGTAGAAAAGTGACCCTAAGAATCGAAGAAGAGGATATTTCATGTGTTGAGTGAAATATGATGTTTCTATCATCGAGTGACGGGAGATAGGAGATACTGCCCGACTGGCATAATGACGGTTGAAAATATCTCCTTTCCCCCCGTCACGAGATGAGAGAACCATGATAGTTCACTATTTATTTTATACTTTTTGTGTATTTTTCTCCAGGAAAATTGAATTATTTCATTACAAATGTAAAACCTTGAAATGTAAATTTTCCCTACCTAACACACAGGGACGGTTCACCACTCCTTGTATTTGCAACTACAAAAAGTAGTTTCGTCTTAAAATATAAAGGGTCACGAAAATTCTTTGTCATACAATTCGATATGGTTATATACAAAATCAATTTTAGCAAAAAATATTCTTGAAAACTAGGGGACCGCTGTTTGAAGCGAAAGAATTCATATCGGTCAAGTAACAAAAATGGTGCTAAATGAGAAATTAACAGTTTATAACGAAACATTTTCCAGATAATAACAAACGGCTAGAAGTGATAATAAGTCCATCTGTCATAATTTTGCCTTGTCAATGTGGAACTAACGTAAAAACAATTTGTGTACAGGCTTGACACTTACGATAAAGGGAGACAATTTAAGGCGAGTTAACTCTTGTATGACAATAGTTCCGTCAAGGTGTTATGTTCACTGCAGTGAAATATGAAGTGTTATTATTCACTGCAGTGTAATGTCAAGTGTTATGTTCACTGCAATGGAAATATCACTTTTCTCAACTTCAGAAAACTAAGTCTTTCACACTGAAGTATATAATAAATGAATAATAAGCAAATGTGTGTTCCATGATGAGAGTAGTTTTAGTCAAAACACATGTTTTGAAAATAATAGTTTAGAAAGTCTGTTGATGATATGTTAGTTTGAGATAACAGTTCACAGAAAAATGTGTCTCCTTCAATACTCCGAACAGGTCCTTTCAAAATATACCCAATTCGCTTCCAGCTACACCACTCGTCTTCTGTTTGATTATGTCTACCGTGTTCATGTATTCACAGCTTGGGGACCATTTCTAATATTCTACCCATGGGTCGTCTGTGGCTTCCTATCCATTAAGATGTATATTACACTTACAACTCACGTGTCCCCTCTGTTGTGATAAACCAATCCTGCATGTGCCAATCTCTTAGTGACGGTTTCATCTGTTTCGGCCATTTCTTGAACGTAGACAGTCGTGTTTCAAACTGATTGAAATTGGTAGAACTGGATCTATATCCGACAGATAAGCTATCCAAGCATGATATGTTACTCTCAGTTCACACAAGCGTTCGTTTCTCACACCGGAGACCCGGGTTCGATTAAAGACAATGTGTAGAGCAGAAGCGACAGGTTAAACGTGTTAGACAGTTTATCCAATGGAAGTGGGACAGCGTGAACTGTGATGTGATGTGAAAAGTATTTCTTGAAAAATATCAGATTACTTAAAAGGCATTCTGATGAACTCTTATCCCATAATATCCGTAGAGGCTATTCCTTTTGATAGACGTTGGGATGTTGGACTATGTCTTCATGACCCAAATTTGTATTTTCGTCCACATGGAGAGGCGAGAATGTACTAGGGAAAATATTAATGGAAGTTAGAGACAATTTCATAGTTGAACATCATTATTATTTAAAAAGGGTGACCGCTGATGAAAGAGTCATTTTCTACATATGTTGCGAGCAGCTGAACAGCTCAACGAAACAGTCGTTGTAAGTCTTCTCTAGACTGAAATCAACGTTCGCAAGATGCTATAGACACCAAGTTCCGTGACTATGTGAAAGCAACTAAGCGGGTAATCGTCAAGCAAATACGCCTAGAGAAAGTTCCTGGAGATGATTTTGAAGCTGTTTGTGTGATCCAGCATATTTAAGTAACAGTTTGTACCTCAGGAGAAATATAACGCATCTCTCAGGTGAATATTATTTTGGTTGTATATTTGACGGGGAAGGAGAACAAGTTCACTCTTGTAACTTGTCTGAACATGATAAAGTCGTTCAGGTCATTAACACTGGCAAATTTGAAGTCAATGATGATCACATAATTGAAAAGTGGATTAAACTCGTTCGAGATAACCCCTCTTTAACACACGTGTCTGCATTTACTTCATCTCAATACCAATGTATACATGACCGTCATACACAATTTAAGAGAGCTCAGAGGATCGACGAGTAAGAACACGTGTTGTGAAAATGTTGCAATTAGAACGAGTGTTATATAATTACATGAATAAAATACTCCCATAAAAACGTCTGATTGTTTTGTGACTATTGTTTGGGACCAATAGATTTGATAAGTTACTCTCACTGGGTATTATGTTGCGACACATTTTGCTTTCTCTGATACATGATGGACGCAGGCTAGTTAGAGTTTTCTATTTTAACTCTCATAATAAAGTCAAGGCAACCTCATCACACGCCATTTGCTAGTTGTGCATTTGTCATCCACACTAATGATTGATGATCTGTCTCTGAGACAATCTCCCGATCGTACAAATATCTACTTAACTTTAGGATACACCACACCTTTGCTAAACACTCCTTTACCATTGTGGAATATGCCTTTTCCCTTTCTAGTAACTTCCGACTCACATATATAGCAAGACATTTCTCATCTTTTTGCTCCAAGATTTCAAAGAGCGCCATACGACTCTTGCTAAGACCTAAAACAGTTTTGTGATTGACATGTGGAGGACATTTCCAAATTTGACGTATCAGTGACAACAATGGCGTCTGATGCTGTTCCCTATTTTGATTTGTACCATATGCTCCCATGTTTTGTGACACCGGTGGGACAGGATACGCTCTCCTTTGCGCGAACACCTGGTATCATCACTATTTGATAGTGATTCATAAACACATGCTCATGATATAGTGGTGCACTCGACTCAGCCTTTGAAAGAGATTTCTTATGAATATAGAAAAAAAAGTTTTATCGCTGTTATTTATACCAAAAACAGAAGTGTTAAGATGAACTGTAGAGGACGTAACATGTAAGCGACACAGGTCCCCAGTTACGCACACAAGTGACTAAAAAACTGAGAGGGGTCACTCATGGGCTCAATTGCCTTTCCATGGACAAAGGATTTTTAAAGGCTGCACAAAAACGTGTCTAAATGTGTTATATCATAATAAAAAAATATAAAAAGTACAGTTATTGATAGTTTAAACAGTTATCGAATGACAAGATAGGTAATGTAAAGAGAAAAAAGTGAAGGGTCATTGTTGTTTATAAAATTGTGCGAAACGTGAGCAGATTAGCCAGTTTTAGACAGCAAATGTATCCTGCAAGTGCATTTTTGTCAGAAAAATAATATTTGTATTTTCTGAAAGCTTATTAATCCTAGTGTTACGAAATATTGTCATTTTGGGGGCACATGAACGCAGATATGTTTGCTATCGCGTTTAAACATGTTTACTTTTCTTTGAAACTGCGCTTTGTCGTCTCGCGAACAAACGAAAAGCCACTAAGGGGAGGTAACTAATGCCTGACCTAATTGTTCAATCGGAACATCTGTCTTGTAACACTAACAGTTGGTCGAGAGGGTGCGTATGGAACACGATATTTAGCTTGAAGTTTCGATTTGTTTCGTCGTGGTAAGAACAAAGAGGAAATATATTTTAATCACGCATTTAGATAACAATTTACAATAGGAGGTATATATCATAAGGTGGAAGCAACATTGTTTAAAAACACTGTAAATACTAAGTCTTGACTTCCACTGATGTTCAAACAATGCACAAAGGAATTCAAGTCATGTTATGACTATTTCAATGGTACGTGATCTTCTATGGTACATGATCTTCTCGTAATTGAAGAATTTATACAACACTAAGCATAAATCTTCTTGTATAAATTCTGTCACAAAAGACAATGAATATGTGAACTATTTGTTTATCACAAATAGCCAGGGACGTGTGATAGTTTGAAACGTAAAACAAATTTGAAATCTGAGCAAAATTAGCCGTGACTGCGAATTTATCAATTTTATATAATATAATTTTAGTTTTTTATTAAAGCTATTAATTCATTCTAACCTCTTTGAGTGGCGTTTAGAAGTTGGAATGGTAACTAAAACAAAATTGTTAGGGATTAGCAACTTCTTTATTACAATTTGGCGACGTTTCGGTGTAGATTCTAACACCGTTATCAAGCAAATCAAGAAGTTGCTCATCCATAACAATTTTGTCTTAGTTATTAATTTATTCATTCATGAGTTACAACATATGTATATATACATATATCCTTTTTCTGGCACACGAACGCACCCGTATGTCATCGCGTTGAAACATCCAATGTGAGTAGTGTGTGCACAGATTTAGATGTTGTTATGAATAGTAAATGAATATCTAATGTGAGCAGGATGCGTACAGTGTATACGTATCAGATATTGTTATTGATAATAAATTAATGTTCAATGTAGGCAGGATAGGCACAGAGTATACATGTTATATGTTGTTATGAATAGTAAATTAATATTCAGTGTAGGCAGGATGTGCACAGAGTATACATGTTATATGTAGTTATTAATAATAAATGAATATCCAATGTGAGCTGGATGTGTACAGAGTATGCATGTCAGATGTTGTTATCAATTGTCTTCTTTATTTTCTACGTGGCCGTTATGACTTTTTGTGTCCGTTTTGACTTTTTCCTGTCGCCTTTTTTACTTTTTCCTCTCGCCGTTTTGACTTTACCTTTTTCGGTCGTTCTGATATGAGGCCGTTTGGACCCGCTCCCGTTCGCTGTGACATATACACATTACATAACCACAGCTAATTATTCGATTGGTTCCAAATAAACGTGATAAAGAAACGAAAGTCTGTCGACTTTTTACGGATATATGGAAATTTACAATGCGTCTACCAAAAACGGAGATAAATAACCCTTCCAGAATGCCGACCAACACTTTCGAATATTTTTTGAGAGTGATGTATATGTCGAATCTGCCTGTGGTTTTACCAAGATATAACGCAATGCAAACTAATTCTGAAATATGTATAAATCTGCATAAATAGTCGATTAGTTGGTATTCGGAAATAAATATTGACAATATTCTGGTATGTCATCCTCTCAAACAATTTACATGTAGCTGTTCCTTACATGTGTCAGAACTGTATGCACATTTATTAAACACAAGGACAGGATAAAATGATTCACATGTAATGAAATAATTATTAGCGATAATAAGACAAGAAACCATGGAAGCACCGACATCTGCAGGCCGGCAATTACATAATCGCAGCCGTGTCCACTTGTCTAAACTATCACCAATTCAAACACATTGCTGCATCTGGGGCGGTCGGGTAGCCTAGTGGTTAAAGCGTTCGCTCGTCACGCCGAAGACCCGGGTTCGATTCCCGACATGGGTACAATGTGTGAAGCCCATTTTCTGGTGTCCCCCGCCGTCATATTGCTGGAATATTGCTAAAAGCGGCGTAAAACCATACTCACTCACTCACTCATTGCTGCATCTGTATAGTCCATGCATACACATCCATTAATCAGGATGTATATACCCAAACACGCAAAACTAACCCGACTTATTCCATGACGGCCTGTCCTCATCTGGCCTACACCTCATATCGCCTACACTACTATCAAAACAAAGGCATGGCCGAGTGCACATCACACTTGTACCCTTATCCCTTAAGTAAAATGAACTCTTCCATCAAGATAACAAAGAATGTAAATGACTTTTGATACTGTAATTTCATTTTGTATATGAGATAATCTTCACAACGCAAATGTTTTCACAATATCAAATATCATAAATACACATGTATTATCATAGCACTGTTCAAAGGTCCATGTACTCAGGTAATTAATTCATATTAATGAATGAAATCATTAATGGGTTAATGGACAGTACCATTCTACACATTCTATATTCAGTGATATCCTACAGCGCACAAACCATGCCTGGTCGAATCCCCCAGTGTCTTTCTTCATGCTGAATCATCGCTGAGATATTGTGGGGAAATTTAGATTTGTCAACATCTATTGGTGACCTTTACTTGACATATAATTTTTAAAAGGAAATGTTTTAAATGAATGTTTTCAAACAAATAAACAATTGTTAATAATATTAACTAAATATAGTTAAGAATAACAGAAACTATATAGATAATAAATATGGATATGGATTTGTATTTTAATTTGCTTTGCCCACTAAAGATCCCAGAGATACCCAAACTAAACATTTTTCCCCAACTTATATTTTCTGTATTTTTTAGGGGATGCTTTTGTTCCTGAAACAGAAGAAATAATTTCTGTTGCTATTTGTGGTGGAGATGGTAGGATTTGGCGTTGTAATGAAGATAAATATGTTACCTTTCTTGCATTCTGTCATCAGGGGAGTGTATTATATATAGTTACGCAATACAATTCACCGAGTATTGAAATCTCATGTATTTCTTTAAGCATCTGGTCAGCTCCTTGTACCTGAGAATTAAGTGATGTTAAACTTATTTGTAACAATTTTTCACTCTTTGATATGAATAATATGTTTACATGTGCAAAACGACGCGACGTGATTCAGCCTGTTTTGGGTTAAGGCTTTGGGTGGTATCTTTACATTATTCAATTCGCCGACGTCATAATGTACATTCCCCTCATCTGTTTCATATTTAAACCTATGCATAAATAATCAGTGACAAAACACTCTCCACAAGACTGTATGACAAGAGAAATGACTTCAACTTTCCAAAAGTCTACTTTCCCTTCATATCGAGCATTCTTTCGATCCAGCCTTTGGTGCTAAAATTTCACAACTTTTGAGAAACAATTTCCCAGAGTGAAATTGTATTCTCCCGTTGCAAGGTTGACGCCTAATGTACCCAAGCACGTTGATCACGCTGATGTTCCTGATGTTTGTTTAGCAGTATATGCATGAACTACTTCGGGTCCTCACTGTACAGAAAAATGTGTGTTTTTGAAAAAATTAACCGAATGCTGACGCAAATGACATTATATTGCACCGTTGTCAGTCCTCCCAGTGCTGACCAATTAACACACGTCATAGCAACTGATGCGTCATTTTCCTGTTTAATAATATTATAGTCCATATAGGGTAAATGCTCGTAGATGGCTATTGTCGATGAGATGCTTGTTCAACGAAATCACCAAGCGAATGATAAAAGTCAGATGGAATGGTTTTCTACGTTCTGAAAGACAGGTTCTAAATATATTTAGTTAAGCCTTTTCTGGTATTATTGTTGTATATACATGCCTTGTCGAAGGCATTGGTCATCTTCGAGCGCTAGAGCAAATTTAGAACATGTTTTTCCTTTTGTGAGAATGAACCAGAATCTTTGATGCACGTTAAATAGAATGCCATTTATGAAAATAGTTTAAGTTCAATAAAAACCAGGAAGTATTGGCTATTAATGAAAAAAAAAATAATCTGATTATCATTTTAAGTAAAAGATATATTTCTATATTTCTAGTATTACGATGAAAAAAACAACACTAATCCCTTTCATCGAAATTTTGAAAAAATATATTTATTTTATACAATAAGATGTATATAATGTAATTATAACATGATGTATCCATTAAAATTGATAAACAGAATTTTAAAAAAAGTTGACATGTTTTAGTGTTTTAAACTGTTTATTGCGTTTATTTATTGATATTAAAATGCGAAGTTTAAGACTTGTATTGTAAACAAAGTTGAATTTGTAACAAATTGTATTGGTTCATTCAACTATAGATATGAATTTAACGATATAAGTGTCGCATTTTTCTGTTTTTTTTATTATCTGGAAAACTGTTTTTTACGTCGTGTACCTGTTATATGTTATAGTTTCGAACAAAACTCTCTAAAATCATGTGAATTGTGTAGGGCTTAAAAAAATAAAAAAATATTTGTCTCTTCTACCTTTAAAATCTGGCATATAATATATGTCAACGACAATATAGCGAGATATCTGGGGTGTTGAGGCTTATGGCTGCATACCAGTACACGCACGCAGCTTTTAAAATGTTATCAGCCTATTCATGAGCAATAGAAAAGCCCGAACTCTGGATACAATCTTCTTGAATGCACGCATGCTATCGACTTCTATGCAATGTGCACCGCCCGTGTCAGGTGCGCAACAACTCTCCATAATACAACTGCGGAGTATAAGTTTCACTTGGTCATACAGTAAACACCTGGTCGTCAATGTAACGACTGAGCTGAGGCAGATTGTGTTTACTGATGTGTACACGTACACATGCAGGTAGGTAGCATACACTGTACTTGTAGCAATAACCGTCTCTCAACTAGGTACAGAAGTCTTACATGTGTTTGTGGTCTTTAATGGTCGCGATATTTATTGCATGTCATCCTCATTACAGCGCGAGTTTCCTCGCACATTTTGTATTAAACATCCGGGACTATTGTAATACTGTCACACAACGAATAAACGTCACTTTCAATGTTGATATAGTGTCTACAGCTAGGTTTGTAGCACTCTAAATCCTTGGTAGGGTAAGCTAATCCACCGATCTTCCACTCTCTGGGAAGACATTGTTTCTACCACATGACAGAGGTAGTTAAATGTTCGGTTGAATGATCATGACATTATGTAAGTTATTAAGCTGGCACATAAAACAGTGTCAGTAATTGAATACAATGGTATTTCTGTCAGCACCATGACAGTATTACGATGCATTATGTTAATTGTTTTCGTCTCTACTCAGCTGACACTTCGTTAACGCGTCGTCGAATTCTAGCTCATTCCCAGTCACACTGATAGTGTGTATCTATTGCATGGTAAGCACATATGAGACTCCATTGGATATACAGACTAACATAAATGGTTTGTAAAGTTTACTAACCTAGTTAGTGAATTTCACTGTCCGCTCAGACACTAACATGTTAGTAGTATGTTTTATTAGGCGGCCTATCGTCACTAATGTTAAGTAGTAATCAGATATACTTTCAGTGTCAGCTTCCTGCATGTGAGCAATACTATTAGGCATAGAGTAACAACACAATCTGCAATCTCTTTATTTGTATTCCGTCCCGCTGCCACCCAAGCCACGTCTTTTTTCCTAGTCAATACTCATAGTCACCATTAGCTTGGTATATCTGTACGCTTTCATGTTATAATCAATATTGTACCAAGTTCAGTGTAAGTCATGGTGGTATATGTGTTATGCAAGTGCCTGTAAATCTGATTTGAATATCTAATTCAAATATATATATTATACATCTCATCCATACTGACTTATAGCCTGATATGAACTTTATCCAACATGTTTTAAAGGGGGTTTGTTTGTGGTTAAGTGGTGTTTAGGCTTTGCGGCGACAGTTCATTTAATGCATTTGAACCCTAAACAATTATTAGATCTAACACACCAAATATGCATGCCGTTAGGATTGAAATACATTCCTGAACATGTCTTGTGTATGTTTACATTCTTAAAACATTTTTACAGTGTGGTGTAAGTAGTGAATGATACTAACTTAATTAAAAGTTATATTTACTCATCTTCAGCATCTTCGTGTAATCCACCTGGCAAGATAGTAAATTCGCTGATTACTTACTTTCTGGCCGTTGTTACTAATTAAGTTAATAGAAATTACCAGGCTATTTTCTCACTGCAGTGTGTTGGCATAATATCTAGAATATTTAATTCATTCGTTCATAATCTGTCACGTCCGAATTAACCAGTTGTTGATAGTTGAAACCCCCATCTTCCGTGAAACATCTTGTGATTTTGGCTTTTTGACTCGTTCTTGCGACACACATGACACAATGGGACCCGTGTAACATCTTGTGATTTGGATTTCGTAACGCGTTCTTGCGACACATATAACACAATGGCACCATCCTGTGTCAAACTTCCAAAAGGGGCAAATGTAGGAGGTTAAATGTGATTTCTACAGGCACATTGTTGTTTCACAAAGTCCTTCAACGAGATGTGTTTTTCTGTTCATCGTCAGGATGAAGACACTATGTTACACCTGTAACAGATCCTTTCCAGATGACAGCGCCCTCTACAACCATACGCTGAAAGCATGTAAGACGTGCATGTACTGCAACTTCAGGTTTGACGATGTTGAAGATATCAGGAAACATATGAATGACAACCACATGAAGGTTTCTTGTTCCACATGCCAGAGAAAGTTCTTCCACCAGGGAGGCCTGGACACACACACGAAAAACAACCACAACCCGGATGGGAGAAAGAGAGGGGGTGGTCATCGGAGAAGGGGAATGCGATCTCGACCTCAACAGCCTTCGGCTAAGCCATCTGCAATGTCACCAGAATCGAATTTTGTCTCTGAAATGGAAAAATGCGATTATTCTGTGGAAAAGTTACTTGCAGATATGGTGCAGCCAGATCAATCAGTTCTCGAACGATACAGGGAGACCATCGAAAGCCTGAAGCTGTTTCTGCAGGAGAAAACAAAATACAGTGTGTCCGAGGTTTTCAAGGTATATACATACATGTACAAGTATTAATGTTGTTTTTCACCATGCAGGGGAATGGTATTACAATTCAAGCAAAGGGTACAACTTGTGGTTCATGTATTTTAAGACTTAACATTAGTTTTTAAGTGAGCAATGATAATAGAAACTAGGTTTAAAGTCCTCTTCTTTTGCATAGAGGATGTTCGCACTGGTGTATTTGTTCGATATTCGAATCAACACCTTATTGTAAAATGATAGATTACTTACTTTTACATTTGTGCATTCATGTTTTGATTCTAATCGGTATCTCCTTAATCACATTCTCTCAATTGATGCGTGTTATGGTATCGAAGGGGCCCCGTATTATTTGACAATTATTGCAGATATCTAAACTATCTCTATGCACTTTTGATGTTTGCCGTAGAAAAGACTGCCATTTTATTTCTGCTTTGAAAGTGTTGAAATCTGTTATCGATCGACTTGTCAATGATACCATGAAAGACACTATATGAATTGCATGACTCTCATATTTTGCTATACATATCACATATCCTTTTTCTTATTTAAAAAACCTTGTATGCCTTAAAATAATTTTTTTCTATAGTTAAATAAAATATACCCCTCGATCTCTGTAGCTATATTCGTTTTTTTGTTATTTTCTCTCAGGGAGGATCATTTGGTAAAGGAACTACAATCAAAGTTAAATCTGACATTGATATCGTCGTGTTCCTCAACGATTTCACCACAGTCGAAAAATTAAAAAATGATATGGAAAACATTCTACAAAACTTACAACATTACATTCAACATGATGAGTACTTGGCAGCTGCGACCGAGAATGTGGAACTGTCAGATCACGCCGTTCAGTTCTGTCTTAAATGCGACACGGGATATATAGACGTAGATCTACTTCCTGCAGTTGATGTGCTGCCCCCAGGTTCGTTGTACTGCTCGGAAACTAAGTCGATGAATATGTATTTCGTTAACCAATATACAGAATAAGGTTTTACCATCCAAAACTGGCTCCCACAGGAGATATCGCTTAGGTGGGACAAACGATATCTCCTTTGTAGATATCTCTGCAATGATCATGAATTGCATCGAAATGATTTGCAGACCATTGTGACGTCATTGGTTATCATGACGTCACAATGAATTGACATCACTAATGGCTCTGCTACGGAAGCTGTAAGCAGTACTTTTTACACTTAAGACACTGCTTATTACTGTCGGCAAACTGTAAAAAAATGGAAGAATGATGTTGGATGGTAAATAAAATCTCACCCTCGTGTCTTTTGATATCAATTATATCCACACTCGTTGATTTGTTTGATATCAAGACACTCGGGTGAGATTCTCTATATATCAAGATTAGTGTGTATGATCATGTATATGGTGAGATTAGCTGTTAATAAAAGTTACAAACCCCTTCCATATTCATAAGAAATCTCTTCTAAAAAATAGTCAATTTTACGATTCCGTCTATATCGTGAGCAAAAAGGGCACTTGCATTGTACTTGTAATTTTATAATTATAAAGAATCCGATAAGACATCAAAGGAAGTATGGGAACAGATGGAACATGAAACGCCTGACGTGAAGCCCTACTATTCAGCCAGCTTTTCACCTCAGCAGGTCGACTTCGTGAAACGCTGTCCATCAAGAGTGAAAGACCTTATTCGTCTTGTGAAGCACTGGAAGAGGGTAGGTTGTGTTTTCTCATGTCAGAATGATGAGATCTGATTGGTCCACGTGATCTTGATAAAATACTGCGTAACCTGCCTTGTAGGTTATTACGTTTCTCACCGGGGGAATAAATCTCTTATACCCCGCTGCGAGCAATACAGGCTGCACGTGAATTTCTGGGAGGCACAATAAATCCCTTATAACCCGCACGCTTTTCCGAGTCAATCTAAGTGACGTGACATAGCACAAGTAAACCACATCTCAATCGAACAGCTTTTTTCTATTAATTCCTTTACAATTTCACATGAAAATATGTTGGTAAGATAAATTCGTTGTAGCAGGATCACACGGGGTACATAGGGTTATATGCGTACCTCAGTAGGTTTTACACCCCTCGCCTCCGGCCCGTGATATAAAACCTTACCCAGGAGACATAAAACTGCACGTACCCCTCATGGTCCTACTACAACTTATAATGCCCTGATTATATTTGCAGATTGACGACGTCAAAATCAGGTCCTACTGTATTGAACTCATGGTGATTGACCTGTGGCGGAAATGGAGAAAGCCAGAGAGAATTGATATGAAGAAGCGGCTGCGTGACATCTTTCAGCAACTCTCATCCATGACTACAACACGTATCACATGGCCAGACGAATATGACATCAGAAAGTTTTCGAAAAAAACGTAAGAATGCATACGTGCTAAGTGAACTTATAGCGCACCCACACGGTGGAAACTGAGAGGAGCTTATAAGGTTTACAACAAAATAAGACGTAATAGTTCATTGTCAGGTCTTTCGGCATTGCACTGTCTCTGTTTTGCAAATAAACGGTTCGATGTAGAAGGACAAAGGAGAATCATATGGCCTATCAAGTACACACATTCTGGTGCACTTTATTTAAACACTTACATTATATAAAAATAATTGTACCATCAAACTTATTCGTCACAGAAAGTGTATGTTCCAAATATTTGATCAGGTTGTAAGGGTAACGAACAATATGATATAATCTGTGTTTGTTGATGGAAATTTAGTTCAGTCGTACTGACGTTTCCTGAGAATTATTTGTGCTTTTTTACCATTGTTACATGTAAAACGATACTTTAAGGACATTTCTAAGCCATAATATATTCTCCTTTATTGTGCATGCTTATGTAACGTTATTGTGATGGGGCCGCAAAATAGTAATACATTCAGTATCTGAAAACATTGACCACTTTCTAATTTTGAGATATGTTTTCCAAGTATGTACGTATTCTTTTAAATTATGTTTATTTTACCTTTTCTGTTTTCATAAACGAAAAAGACGTGGCAGTTGTGTCATGGACCCGGCAAACCCATTTATGAACACAGCACCCACTGCTGCCCAGGCGAAGACAGTTGAGGAGAAAGCCCGCATTGTTTACCATAAACTATGTGCAACGTAGGCGACCTGTCGCTTGAACTTACGATTAAACGTAGCAACGTACAGGTTACGTATAATCCCGTGTTTAAAGGCTGTTGCAGTCGACTTCCATGAATGAATAAGACCACTATGAATATGAAATATTTCTGTACTTCACAATGTATTTTTGAATTATATAGATACCACTTTACCAGTGGTTCGCATATTGTTTGTGCATCTCCGCTTCTTCCACTTTATTTTTAATCGGGCACATTTGTCACGCAGGTCATACGATCAATTGAATGTAAAAGCAGAATATCATGTGCGCGCATGGCAGACTTGACAATAGATTAAACACAGTAACATGTCCAACTGCAAAACTAATGGCAGTCTAGTAGGTACATGCGTATTTGTGTTTGTTGATGCCATGGTAATGATAACGGGTGCCGCCAGTTGGGCAGGATACGGTCACCTTTTCGCGAACACCTTGCATTATCACTATTTGATAGTGTTTCATAAACACATGCACATTATATACAAGTCATGTAGTCGGAATCGTACTATAGACTCTGCTTTATACAGATATAGAAAGGGTTTTGTCGCTTTTTTATTATACAATGTTTACTCTGCAAAATGATTGAGCTTTTGTGTGTTAACTGCTGCAATGATATTGTCCCTAACGGTTACATCAAAAAAGTTCGTGATCGGCACATTGTTACTGACAATGACCAGGAATACACCCTATAGTTTTTATAGTTCATGGTGTGGTTGTCCATTGTATTGTACTGGTTCGCCCTGATTATGTTTCTAGGTTTGTCAGCACCATACCCGTGCTCGTGGGTTTCACCGAAGTGGTTAACGTCCGAGACCTGCATCTAGGCTAGTGTCAAGCTAGGTTACATAACAAATGTGCCGTAAAACATTAACTGTTACTCCCTGTGAAATAGACACCACTTGGTATCATGTTTGTGAGTTTGATAGATTGATATGTTTACCTTGTTGATATACTTTTGATTTATAGTTGGTTGAAAATTTTAATAAAAAATACACATCATATTGACTTTTCATTTTTTGTGCACCAGCTCAGCTATTCCTATACCACTGCCTCATTAAGCTATACATTATACCGATGACAGACCACTGAGATATGTGAGCGTGCAATGTCTGGCAGTATATGACATTTATTCAACTAAACTGCAGGTTAAGGAGCCGTGGCTATCACATGTTTACTACGGATGCAATCTCATTTTAATACATAAGGCATCGTTTTCTTATGCCACAAAAGTAGCATGATCAACTTTTACAAACAGTTTCTGTTTCTGAGGTTCGTAATATATGCATAATACTAAATGTCACACGGGTGGTAGGACGGTCACTGCAGTCTGTTTTTGTTACATAATGTGACGTCAACCGATGATGGTGTCCTGCAAAAGCATATACTGTTTCTTCAGTTTGGTAATGTTTACAGGTGTTGAGGTGAATTGGGGTTTCACGTCGCGTCCAAAATTTTTGCACTTTTATAGCGACGTGCATGCACGTGTGTGTATGGCTGCTTGTACTAGTCCGGACTGATGCCGATTTATAGTGCTAGTCCAATGAGATACCATGCCACAGTTTAACATGAATACCCCACTCAAACACAGTATACTGACTCCGAGTCGACCAGTCCTTGTTTAGCCCCTCAATGCCGAGAGCCAGGCAGGGTAACAATAAGTACCTTTTGTCGTCTTTTGGCATGACGCGGCCGGGGATCAAACCTCGGACCTACCGCTCTCCTGATGGACGCACTACATGTACCTCTAGTCCACGGAGGCCAAGGTAATGTTAACCAAATCAGTGAACAACATCTGTATGAACAAATATTTATATGAGTCTATTTCCGTATGCAGATGTTATTTAGAGTCGTTGAACATCGATGAATAATTTCTGCGTTGTAGTATTTCACTGATACACGTCTATCATAATTAAGACAGGTGCAACACACTGTTACAAGATTGACAATATTAATTCCAGTTAATGTCAATAATTTCTAACTTCTAACCATTCTAGACATTGTACAACCTATTTTCTTACTAAATTTTGAAAATCATAATTTCAAATGTATTTTCTTCCAAAATACAATGGTTTGTAAAATTCTTAATGGTAAACTGTAGCGATGATACATAAATATATAATGGTGGGTTTACCTCATGGGGCTCATGACCACAATGTCGTGTTATCGAACACAATCGTGTGTTGTAATGCATATGTGTCAACCTCAAACGTACTCGAACATTATCCGTGTCACGTTTGTTTGCATAATATCCACTGCCATTCGTGCACAGTGATAAAGTGTTATTTATAAGGGGCGTACATTTGTAGATAAGTAGTGCTGATTTACGAATCTCCTTTTATCATTTCAATATTGAGTGATATGCTCTCGTCAGGATCACATAAACCCAACTGATTTCTTTTTTCCGAGTGTATAGAAGACAGGATCCGTATATTCAAATTCAAGAACGTTTGGGTCAGACGTTACATGATGGACAGGAACAAAAGGTATCTGTGCCACAGTGTAGTGTCGAACGAAGGTTCAGAAATGTTGTATTTGTTCATGTACGTTATGTTATATATCCGCGTAATCGATCAAGGTACCCGTATATCCATCCGTACTTGTCGTCCACAATTGTTTGATAGGCATGACTTAGAAGTTGACGGATGACAAAGTAGACACAATTTATGGATAACAACTTCTGTAATACTGTTAAAAGCAGCGTTTCTGTATAGATCCTTATACCGTTGTCAAGCAAGACTGAATGAGGGACATTGTACAGAATATATACAGTAGGTGGAGGAATAACAGTAACAACAATTGCGTGCAATAGCATGTGTACCGTTAACTGGGCGTCGATAGATAATTTGCAAATCTTTTCATGTTTGTAGTTAAGGTGCTCAAGTTATTGGATTCACTTGACGGGGTGAGGGACGTTTTATTACAATGCATAGACCTAGATTATCGATTAGATCGTTTTGACTGGGTGCCACCATTTTGTTTGATGCGAATGCAAGCGATATGAGAGATGAAATTTTATTGGTCAAAAGGGGGACATAGAAGTGACATAACTCGTAACAGCCACTCTGTAATGTGTCAATTGACACGGCACCAAAAGCTATTAATACATTATGACTTTTAGAAAGTTGAAACAAATGTTTGTTTTTTTATTACACGTCCTTATAGAGTACAACTTTCTGTTACTTTTTTGGGTTACGTCTTTTCCGGGATTCGAACCCACACTTTCGGAGAGAGGCATCCAATCGCCAGCACACAAAGTCTCGATGGCAAAGTCCCAAAGCCACGGTAGCTTACAGCCTGAATAATATACGATGTACAGCACTGCAAGGGCGGTATGTGATAAAGCTATGGACCTATTGCTAATTGAGATAATAGGTCAAAGTCCAATACTCTTATCATACAAAATATACACCTGGTAAACTGAGAGAAAGAAGACATATTTCCCCTAAACATTTTAAGCTTATAAAATAAAGTTACATTACGAAGGATGTCTAAGGCAGTCTTTGATAGGTATTTCGAAGGAGCAAGAACATAAAGGCATGACACTTTGTATGTATAAAAAGGCACACTTTGAAACATGTTTAAGGCGCAAACTGTGACAGATGATTGGTTAAAATATGTGCAGAAAAAATATAGAGGAAGAACATTTCAGAAACGTAAGTAACTGCATGAATTGCCTGAAACTGTGATGGTTCCATCTGTGATATTTGATATTGATGTTAAACTCGTTGAAGTTATATATAAAAAAACTGAAACTCCTGTTTTACTGAAAACAAATTACATAATAGGTACATTATGCCTTGCATTGTACGAAAGAAATACTGTGCCCATTCCTATCAGCATGTATGTGCATGTGATAATATGTCAAAAGAATACTGTTCATTATTATATGTATGTATTTTTACAAAAATATAATTGCGCACCTGTTTATGTTGGGGTGAAAATTGAACACTTAAACATTAAGCAATGTGTGAAGCCCATTTCAGGTGTCCCCCGCCGTGACATTGCTGGAAAAGCGGCGTAAAACCTCACTCACTCACTCACTCACTCACTCACTCACTCACTCACTCACTCACTCACTCACTCACTAAGTGGAACATTGTGAAGTCATATTATCTTAAACAAACACATTGCCTTTAATTTGGCAACACCAAAGTATGTTTCTCTCTGTCTAGGAGGGGCGGTCGGGTAGCCTAGTGGTTAAAGCGTTCGCTCGTCAGGCCGAAGACCCGGGTTCGATTCCTGACATGGGTACAATGTGTGAAGCCCATTTCTGGTGTCCCCCGCCGTGATATTGCTGGAATATTGCTAAAAGCGGCGTAAAACCGTACTCACTCACTCACTCTGTCTAGGAATTTTACACGTATTACTATCGAACTGTTAGTACTGACCCGGCTCATTATGAAACTTTATTGTTTCCTCTATCGTACTTATTTGATGCATTCACGATCACGATGCATTTGTACATGTAGAATATCACACCAAAACATTTCGTTCAAAGTCAAACATGTATCATATAACTTCAAACATTTAAGGCTGATCTTACTATTACTTTAAGACGCGTTAATGGCGTTAATGGTTAATGGTACATTCAGTCATACATTCAGTGGCACAAAAACTCCTTGTATATGAAGAAAATGTGTGTGAAAGTGATGATAACTTAGACAAAAAGGTCATCGTTATCTCATTAATGATGTGATGAGAGACCTCGCGAGGAGTGATTGTTGTATGTCGATGCGTCTGTGCAGCTAGAATAGGGAAATCCCCGTCCCAGGTTCCCCGCCGGAATTCCCAGTCAGCTCAAGATAGACAAAGTAAACAAATCAGACTGTGTACGCCTGACGGTGGAGGGAGACGTATTTGTATAGCTACACGAATAAACTATCACAGATGATCAACAATGACCAAGAAAAGACGAAGTAAGTGATTACATGTTCTCCAGATATATGATGTATGTTAGTATATAACAACCTAATACAGTAAAAGACGAGACACAAACGTCAATCAATGATTTCGCTTCGACCTATAGAGTAGAAAAGAATGGTAGGTGTAGCAGTTGTTACGTGCATTGATCTCATTGGTGAATGCTTTGTTTTTGGACGTTGCTAATATATACAACTGTACCCTACAGCGATCGCAGCCGTAGTGATATAACCAAGTTGTTGGTTGGGTCGATATCGTACTTTCGGTTTGTCGGATTGTCCCACTAGGTTACTGTGACATGTTAGGGTATGCTAGGGCTAGTTTACACTTGAAAGAGATCAGATACCTACAGTGTATTGCATGGAGGTTGAGATAGCAAGTGAGTTTTTACAGTGTTCACTAAATACACCATATTTCCACGAGGCGGTAGGGAATATATACGAGCAGTTTTCTTTGGGGAATCCCCGGACAATGGCGGACTTCCCAATGAGCGGGAATAGAAGTGTCACACAAGAAGGATCATAAACCTGTTCTCGTTACATTTGAACGGAATCAGATTACTGCAGTGTAATTGTAATACACATACGTTGAACAAGGGGCACTGCATGAAAAACTATTTTTTAATTTGACACTTCGTAAACATTTGTTACTGGAAGATGGTGTGGAAGATGATATAATACTGTGACATTACTTGGGGGTATTCCACAAATAGTAGAATGGATGAACCTTTCTACACGGACTACTTTCATTAACATCGCCTCCACAGAAATCAGTTTCCGGAACATAAGTCCATGCTGTACCCAAAGCATATACATTACATGGTGTAAATAAACTCCCAGAGTGAGTGAGTGAGTGAGCTTTTAGCAATATTCCAGCAATACCACGGCGAGGGAAACCAGAAATGGGCTTCACATATTGTACCCACGTCGGGAATCGAACCTGGGTCTTCGGCGTGACGAGCGAACGCTTTAACCACTAGGCTACCCGACCGCCCCTAAACTCCCAGAGAAACCATGGGGTGGCTGTATCTCGCACATTTCTGATTTATGCATCATATGCTTCTAAGTTTATTTCACTCTCCTGTGTATATAATAATGTATAAATATTTATAATATAAACACGCATATGTATATTGTGTACTCTCCGAAACCAAAGGAGTAAAAAAGGAGTGGTATTTCATATTGATAAAGTCACCTAAATATTAGTCAGTTGTTATATTGAAGATATTACACGCATTCTAGGTTAGCTAAACTGGTGATTTAGGGCATGAACATTTTCAGATATGTAAATAATACATAATATATAAATAAATTTAAATAAATATGTAATCATGATGATTGTCGTGTTGCAGGAGCAGTGGGTTATATAAGTGTAAAGAATGTTGCAAAGACTTTCAAACCGATCTTGCACTATTCCAACATCTGACTGCGAGAAACAAGCGATGCGGGAACAGTGCTTGCTTTTATTGCGACTACGGTGAGAGCGTTCCCGGTGGCTTGTCAGATCACATCAAGACACGACATTCTGTTTTCGAATGTGCATTTTGTTCTAAGAAATTCTTCTTGAGAACTCATTTTGAGGTACACATGAAACACGAAGAAGGCATAGTGAATTCATGGAGGGATGATCCTTTGCCTGGAATGGACGACACAGAATCATTCAGCGAATTGATAGAACGCCTGAACCCGGATGCAATTGTTTACGAAGAGTGTCAGAGAATTAAGGAAAAGTTGGAATGGTTCATGCACCACAACACATCTTACAAGAAATGCCACATCACCATGGTAAGGTATAGATGGCGCGTTAATTATGATTGTATGATTATACTTTTGTATAGTTTGCATTATGTTTACAATTTTATGATAAGCTGAGCAATTAAACCACCAACTAATAAACCGTGTTTAGACCTTGAGACAACTAAAGTTTGATTGTTTAATGTATTAATGTGAAGAAGGAAAATGTAAATGAGTTTACTTTACACGGCTTCCAGTCACAATAAAGTGACATGACAATCCTTGAAATGTGTTGTCCATGCGGCGAATCGAATCCCAATGAACTCGAAGAGCCAACGCTTTCACAAACGAACTAACCCAGCACCCATTGCATACAGTAAAACAAAAATGTATTACAAATTTACTTTCAAAAGACATTGTTTGTAATTATGAATAAGGTCATAATTAGGAGATAAACATACTGTGTTTTGAATGTAGAGCTAGCCCTGCAGGCACAACGACGTTGTATCAACGTCACATTTCAACGTTGAAAGAACGCCATTGCCTGCTAGGAGATTACTTGTCGATTTAACCGCGCTAAATTCAATTTGGTGAACCGAACGCGACGTTGCGGTTGTTAAATTTAGCGCGGTTAAAACAGCAGGTAACTTGGCTCTACATTTAAAACACAACGTTTTTTTCTCCATTCGAACATGACTAAACAAATCGCGAACTATTTGGTGTTGAGAACTGTGTTGAGTGAAGCGGCGTGGGTGTTTTCCAGTCCAGTGCCGAGAGGAATGTCGATCAGAATGTACGGAATCACCGACAACCGCTTTTGAACAAGATATGGCGCTCTATATACTTTCACAGTTTGTTTACACCGCAACATCCCACCCGAGTTAACGGCAGCCACTGAAAGCTAGCAGCACGGCAACTTTGTAAGCTAAAATGAGATGGACACTCTAAAGAAAACTAAGCAAGCCTTGTAAAGGTTACGTTCGTCACCGCGCGTCACAATAATGACGTCATATCGAATATTGCAGTAACCGCAACTTTACATTTTGTAGCCTACAAAGGTACTTGGTAGAATTGTTATTCAACAATATGTCACGCGCATAGCGTGTTTCGTGCAAATATATAAAATACGAAACGAGCTCCCGTGTAATACCAGAACTATTCACGAGTTGCATTAAATTGGTATTACACGGGAGCTCGTTTCGTATTCACACGGGAGTGAGTTAAGTATTTTATTTATTACTTGCTGTTTAAAACTTTTTCTCAGAATTTCACTGTCGTGTGTAAATATAGGCAGATATCTACGCGATCCACAGCATAATCCAATTGAGTTTAACAAAACAATACTTCAAACACGTCAACAGTTGACACGTATTAATTTAATACAATCCAACGGCCCACCTTAAGGATTCAGGATTCCTTTCCAGAAAGCTATTGTGGTATTAATGCCCATTTATTTTTTATTTATTCGTATTGTCACTTCCAGGCAGGATCAATAGCCAAACAAACTCCATTAAGAAAGGCAGATGTCGACCTGATTCTCTTCTTGCACGACTTCAAAACCATGACGACATTTATAGAAAGCAAAAAGGAGATCATAGAACGAATCAAACGCCATGTCGAAAATCGGGACATGAATTGGGCCCATGGCCTGAGGTTTCAAAAGCGCACACAAAACTCAATACAGTTTGAGCTGAGTGTTAGTGGCAGTAGCACGTCGATGGATGTGGATCTACTACCAGCTGTGCAACTGTTGCGCCGTAACAGTTCTTCTGAGAGGGGTATATTCGTATCATTTATGAAGTTGATCATCAGTTATTTGTGTCTATCCACGAACACGAAATATGTATTAGCTGTCACCTCACATAAAATAACCCTTTCGATACTGAACAAATATATTATGTTGAACATATTTTTACTAAATTAAACACAGATCAGACATTATTAGAAAAGGTTACTTATTTATTAAATTCACTTGTCCTTCACTTTGGTATCATAATTTTATTGTTTAATGATTCATGTGTGTATTAACAACAGTATGATGTGAGCTATTGTGGTTTAGATGAACATCGCATTCAGGTCTTTACTGGTTGATTCTTCATGTGGAATGGAGTATTTGATATAAAAGGTAGTATACTAACCTCAAATCCTTCTCATTTTGCAGATGCATTGTACACAAATATGAAATCCATGTCAGCAAAGGAGAGGAAACATTGTGGGCCGTGCCTGTCTGAGCTGCAGGTCGAGTTTGTGCATAACGTACCAAACACGTTGAAAGACGTCATAAGGATAATCAAATATTGGATCAAGATTGTACGCAAGGTACGTGATTTAATTGGTTCTTCTGTGATTGTTTTTCTTTGATTGCTTTGATTTTTTTCGTTTTTGTTTAACGCCGCACTCATCATATTCCAGCTCTATGAATAAAATAAATAATCGAGTCTCGACCTGACAATCCAGTGTTTGACATCATGAGCATCAATCCACGCAGTTGGGATACGATGACACGTATAAACCAAGTCAGCCAGTCTGACCACCCAATCCCGTTAGTCGCCTTTTACGACAAGCATGCCATTGGGCTGCTGAAGATAATTTCTTACCCCCTCCCACATTAAGCTGACACGCCGTGATATAACTGGAATACTGTTAAAAGCGGCGTTAAACCCAACTCACTCACTCACTCACTCATTTCTTGCCCGGAATATTAACTGGACGTTATGTGTACGTTTGTTGTGGACCTGTGAAGATCCGGGGTAGAATAGGTCTTCAGCAACCCATGCTTGCCGTATAAGGCGACTATGCTTATCCTAAGATGCGACTGTGTTGTGTTGTTCCTCGTCTCAACTGGATTCTTCTAAGATGCTAAAAACAACTAACGTTAGTCATTGCGCTTCGACATATGTGAACACAAATCATGTCACAGCATGTCGTCCTGAAGAGTCAATCATAATCAAAAGGTATTTTCACTCTGAAAACGCTATGGTTGGGGCCTTAACTAACGTTGTCGCAAACAGAGAGGCCTTTGGCACAGACTCAGCTAAGACATGGAGCCTCACACCCGAAGCCAATGTCTGGTTATTACACGCGCGCCCACGGAACAACAGCCACATGTAAATGATGTTTTGATTTTTAGGATGAGAGGTGTACAACAGTCCGGTGTTACTTCTGTGAGTTAGTGGTCATTGACTATTGGATGAAAAACGACTCACCTGACGACCCCGAGATCGACATTGATGACTACGTTATACAAGTCTTATACCGCCTCTGTTTCTGTCAGAGTCTTCGGATCATTTGGCCTGAAACTTACGACTTCCTCAAATACAGAAGTGAAGAGTAAGTACAGATAGCAACAAGATGCCGATTTCATGGAATATGTTTTGACACAATGACGAATAATGCATTAATATATACGTTCAAAACCTGCAGATTAAAACCACACTAGGTTTATATATAATTAGCTGGACAGCGGGCATGCTCTATCACAATTCAACGACGTCATTATATTTTGTGTGGCGAACTTAAATAGTGATGAGCTACGAGGTATTAATGCTTTTTACCCATATGAATGAATGAATGAATGAATGAATGAATGAATGACGTATGTCTTTTAAGGGAGACTATGAATTTGAATATGAATAAAAACATATGAACCGTCAACCCAACTGAGAACCTTCATTCAAGTAAACCTTTCTTCTGTTGACTACATGTAAAGTAAAGTTTCATGAGTCAACAATTCCTGACGTCATAAACAGTAGACAACGTCATTCTAAGCAACGCCGAAATGTGACTTCATATTGTTTCAACAGATCCAGCAGGACTGACAACTGCACACACATAAAAGTTGACACATTTGACCTACCTAAAATAATATTTAGTTTCTATACGCGCTATTCATGATGACATTGAACATGATATTAACGTTTCATTCATCTGCATATACACATTATCGGTATACTATATACTATATACGTTCGCCTCATAACATCTTGGTCATCCATATCAGATAAAGTAAAGTCCTTACGCTGTTTCTTTTTTTCAGAGCCGAGCCTATAGTTCTGGATCCTGCAAATCCCTTTGTGAATGTTGCGCCCAACATGAAGGATGCTTTACGAGTGAGTCAGTGCGCCATTGAGCTGTTTGAAAGATATGGAACTGTCAAACCTAAACACTTGTCTTCTAGACAATTGACATACCGAAGTCCAGCCTATATCTGCCCTTCTGTGACCTTACAACGACCTGCTGCCGTGGCGATAGACATGTGGGATTCCTGCCCTGATGATGTTTCTACAGGTACTGGGGTCATGTCATCGGTGAATGCCCAAATGCATTCGAGCAACCCTAGCTCGAAAAGACCAGCAAAATCCCTCTTGTCTTCTAGACAATTGGCATACCGAAGTCCAGCCTATATCTGCCCTTCTGTGACCTTACAACGACCTGCTGCCGTGGCGATAGACATGTGGGATTCCTGCCCTGATGATGTTTCTACAGGTACTGGGGTCATGTCATCGGTGAATGCCCAAATGCATTCGAGCAACCCTAGCTCGAAAAGACCAGCAAAATCCCTCTTGTCTTCTAGACAATTGGCATACCGAAGTCCAGCCTATATCCGCCCTTCTGTGACCTTACAACGACCTGCTGCCGTGGCGATAGACATGTGGGATTCCTGCCCTGATGATGTTTCTACAGGTACTGGGGTCGTGTCATCGGTGAATGCCCAAATGCATTCGAGCAACCCTAACTCGAAAAGACCAGCAAAATCCCTCTTGTCTTCTAGACAATTGGCATACCGAAGTCCAGCCTATATCTGCCCTTCTGTGACCTTACAACGACCTGCTGCCGTGGCGATAGACATGTGGGATTCCTGCCCTGATGATGTTTCTACAGGTACTGGGGTCATGTCATCGGTGAATGCCCAAATGCATTCGAGCAACCCTAACTCGAAAAGACCAGCAAAATCCCTCTTGTCTTCTAGACAATTGGCATACCGAAGTCCAGCCTATATCTGCCCTTCTGTGACCTTACAACGACCTGCTGCCGTGGCGATAGACATATGGGATTCCTGCCCTGATGATGTTTCTACAGGTACTGGGGTCGTGTCATCGGTGAATGCCCAAATGCATTCGAGCAACCCTAGCTCGAAAAGACCAGCAAAATCCCTCTGTGTCTGGAGATGCAAGTTGCTGCTGGGGTTGCTGCTGGTGTCCCTGCTGGTACTAGTTTTAGGAATCATACTATGGAGTGTGAGATCCTAAATTCCATCGGTCAAAGATGAAGAAAAGGACCACAGATGTCAACTTTTAATCAAAGATGAAGAAAGGGACCACAGATGTTAACTTTCAATCAAAGATGAAGAAGGGTCCATAGATGTTAACTTTCAATCAAAGATGAAGAAAGGGACCACAGATGTTAACTTTCAGTCAAAGATGAAGAAAGGGACCACAGATGTTAACCCTCAATCAAAGATGAAGAAAGGGTCCACAGAGGTTAACTTTCAGTCAAAGATGAAGAAAGGGACCACAGATGTTAACTTTCAGTCAAAGATGAAGAAAGGGACCACAGATTGTAACTTTCAGTCAAAGATGAAGAAAGGGACCACATATGTTAACTTTAAATCAAAGATGAAGAAAGGGACCACAGATGTTAACTTTCAATCAATGATGAAGAAAGGGACCACAGATGTTAACTTTCAATCAAAGATGAAGAAAGGGTCCACAGATGTTAACTTTCAGTCAAAGATGAAGAAAGGGACCACAGATTGTAACTTTCAATCAAAGATGAAGAAAGGGACCACATATGTTAACTTTCAGTCAAAGATGAAGAAAGGGACCACAGATGTTAACTTTAAATCAAAGATGAAGAAAGGGACCACAGATGTTAACTTTCAATCAAAGATGAAGAAAGGGTCCACATATGTGAACTTTCAATCAAAGATGAAGAAAGGGACCACAGATGTTAACTTTCAATCAAAGATGAAGAAAGGGACACAGATGTTAACTCTCAGTCAAAGATGAAGAAAGGGATCACAGATGTTAACTTTCAGTCAAAGATGAAGAAAGGGACCACAGATTGTAACTTTCAATCAAAGATAAAGAAAGGGACTACATATGTTAACTTTCAGTCAAAGATGAAGAAAGGGACCACATATGTTAACTTTAAATCAAAGATGAAGAAAGGGACCACAGATGTTAACTTTCATTCAAAGATGAAGAAAGGGTCCACAGATGTTAACTTTCAATCAAAGATGAAGAAAGGGACCACAGATGTTAACTTTCAATCAAAGATGAAGAAAAGGACCACATATGTTAACTCTCAGTCAAAGATGAAGAAAGGGTCCACATATGTGAACTTTCAATCAAAGATGAAGAAAGGGACCACAGATGTTAACTTTCAATCAAAGATGAAGAAAGGGACACAGATGTTAACTCTCAGTCAAAGATGAAGAAAAGGATCACAGATGTTAACTTTCAGTCAAAGATAATGAAAGGGACCACAGATTGTAACTTTCAATCAAAGATGAAGAAAGGGACCACATATGTTAACTTTCAGTCAAAGATGAAGAAAGGGACCACATATGTTAACTTTAAATCAAAGATGAAGAAAGGGACCACAGATGTTAACTTTCAATCAAAGATGAAGAAAGGGTCCACAGATGTTAACTTTCAATCAAAGATGAAGAAAGGGACCACAGATGTTAACTTTCAATCAAAGATGAAGAAAGGGTCCACATATGTGAACTTTCAATCAAAGATGAAGAAAGGGACCACAGATGTTAACTTTCAATCAAAGATGAAGAAAGGGACACAGATGTTAACTCTCAGTCAAAGATGAAGAAAGGGATCACAGATGTTAACTTTCAGTCAAAGATGAAGAAAGGGACCACAGATTGTAACTTTCAATCAAAGATAAAGAAAGGGACCACATATGTTAACTTTCAGTCAAAGATGAAGAAAGGGACACAGATGTTAACTTTCAATCAAAGATGAAGAAAGGGACCACAGATGTTAACTTTCATTCAAAGATGAAGAAAGGGTCCACAGATGTTAACTTTCAATCAAAGATGAAGAAAGGGACCACAGATGTTAACTTTCAATCAAAGATGAAGAAAAGGACCACATATGTTAACTCTCAGTCAAAGATGAAGAAAGGGTCCACATATGTGAACTTTCAATCAAAGATGAAGAAAGGGACCACAGATGTTAACTTTCAATCAAAGATGAAGAAAGGGACACAGATGTTAACTCTCAGTCAAAGATGAAGAAAGGGTCCACATATGTGAACTTTCAATCAAAGATGAAGAAAGGGACCACAGATGTTAACTTTCAATCAAAGATGAAGAAAGGGACACAGATGTTAACTCTCAGTCAAAGATGAAGAAAGGGATCACAGATGTTAACTTTCAGTCAAAGATAATGAAAGGGACACAGATGTTAACTCTCAGTCAAAGATGAAGAAAGGGATCACAGATGTTAACTTTCAGTCAAAGATGAAGAAAGGGACCACATATGTTAACTTTCAATCAAAGATGAAGAAAGGGACCACAGATGTTAACTTTCAGTCAAAGATGAAGAAAGGGACCACAGATGTTAACTTTCAGGCAAAGATGAAGAAAGGGACCACTGATGTTAACTTTCAATCAAAGATGAAGAAAGGGACCACATATGTTAACTTTCAATCAAAGATGAAGAAAGGGCCCACAGATGTTAACTTTCAATCGCAGGATTGGAGCAAACTTCCGGACATCGCTATCAAAGTGATGTTAATTCAGAACTTGAGTGGTTACTTAGTATATTGCAAAGTTATATTTTGCGATAGTGACACAGACATGTCATAAACATTAAATTGATTTGCATTACTGATCTCTATACATGTTATTCGCCATGACTGATTAACAACTCCATCTTATTGCTCAACAGAGCAACGTTCTACATGAAATATATCACTCATATATATATACACACACACACACACACACACACACACACACATATATATATATATATATATATATATATATATATATATATATATATATAGTTAGCGTTTATGTTGATGTTGATATTGTATTGATGTTGTGTTGATGTTGATGTTGTATTGATGCCGGTTTTAACAATACTTCAGTCATGTCACGGAGTATCAGCGTAATATCGCCCATGGGAGGCAGCTCGTTGAAAGTTACAACTTGGTCATTCCTACAAGAACTAGTACAACGGCACTGTTTGAAAAGACAATCTGATATTTGAGTTGGAGGATCCTGTAACGGCTAAGGGTAGCTACTCTGCAAACCTGACGTAACCATGAAGTGCATCATTCCAAGTAAAAAGTGTAACAAGAACCCACATTCATATACGTACTGCAAAATGCATAATCAGGTTTATATCTACTATGTAATATCACTAACCAACAAACATCAATTGGGACCAAAACCTTGGGATAAAATTTTAGTTAGAGACCAAACTGTACTTGTATCAATAAACAGTGTTGGCATGTTTTTGCTTCCTTTCTTAAGTGTGAAATATAAATTCTAACATAGTGAGGGTTCAAAAAGCACGAGTTGGGCTTTACAACATTAATTCAGTGAAAATAGCGTGTGTCAGATTAACTCGGAAAAAAACATCAAGTGATCCAGGTCTTTGACATTTACATCTTTGGTCCCATCTCAAGAGGTTGAAGATGTCTGGATGAGCCGCTTACGCCAATGTGGATTTCAGTTGTCAGTTTATGAATTATAAATTATGTTGTGGAGGTCCAAACTCGTGGAATCAAAATGGAAGCACTACACCAACGAGGAACGTCGTACCAATACTAACCCCGACAGCTGGCAGTATAGGTTTCACACAACCAAATGTTTTCCCTCAGACTTCCACAGTAACGTAATATTTTATAAAAAAATAATTAAGAATTCAACAGCTATGACCAGTACGTGTGTGCACAGTTCAGCAGCAATAAACACACAAAAAACGGCTAGCATAGCCAACTCCTTTTCCGAGTACAGGAAGCTTATATTAACACACAACCCCAGTTCCGCACCAAATGTAACCTACTTGCACATATCTATGATCTGTGGTCACAATCAGCATAAGTCATCATGTTAAAAAGACTTTACTTAATATAAAACAAAACATGGTCTCTTTTAATTACTGGATACATGTACATTTACACGACATAAACATCTTACACAATATCATCCAATCACAGACTGCAGATCCTGGAGGCTCCCTGCGAAAACGGTAAGTCACAACTGGTTCTGATTTGGTGTAGTGGAACCTGTAGGCTCAATAACATTTCCGGAAAGTGCCACGCTATCTTCTTCAAACACCTGTCCGGAGAAAGCAGTCCGTAGTTGAAGCTGTGGGTCACCAGGATGGCCTTTGGTCACCGTCGTGATAACTCGAGTGATAAAAAGCATAGGGACCTGGATCGCAGGCTCTCTGACCTGACAACTCTGCAGACCGCAAAACCCGACGAATCCCAACAACCTCGACTCTGTGAGCCATCTGATGTTTTGTTTGCACTCAGTAATATTCCAGCTATGTGATAATATGTCCAAAGACTACTGTTCATTATTATTCATTCATTGTATGTACTTTTACAAAAATATAATTGCGCACCTGTTTACGTTGTGTTGAAAATTTAACACTTAAACATTAAGCAATGTGTGAAGCCCCTTTCAAATGTCCCCCGCCGTGACATTGCTGGAAAAGCGGTGTAAAACCATACTCACACACTCTCTCACTCTATGCTGAAATCTTCAATCTTAAATAAACACATTGCCTTTAATTTGGCAACACCAAGTCATGTTTCTCTCTGTCTAGGAATTTTACACGTATTACTGTTAGTACTGACCCGGCTCATTATGAAACATTATTGTTTCCTCTATCGTACTTATTTGATGCATTCACGATCACGATGCATTTGTACATGTAACATTCAGAAATGTTCATTAATATATCACACCAAAACATTTCGTTCAATTCAAACATGTATTTTATCGAAAATAACTTCAAACATTTAAGGCTGATCTTACTATTACGTTCAGACGCGTTAATGGCGTGAATGGTTAATGGTACATTCAGTCGTACATTCAGTCGCACAAAAACGCCTTGTATATGTAGAAAATGTGTGTGAAAGTGATAATAACTTAGACAAAAAGGTCGCCGTTATCTCATTAATGATGTGATGAGAGACCTCGCGAGGAGTCACGGTTGTATGTCGATGCGTCTGTGCAGCTAGAATAGGTAAATCCCCGTCCCAGGTTCCCCGCCGGAATTCCCAGTCAGCTCAAGATAGACAAAGTAAACAAATCAGACTGTGTACGCCTGACGGTGGAGGGAGACGTATTTGTATAGCTACACGAATAAACTATCACAGATGATCAACAATGACCAAGAAAAAGACGAAGTAAGTGATTACATGTTCTCCACATCTATGATGTATGTTAGTATATAACAACCTAATACAGTATAAGACGAGACACAAACGTCAATCAATGATTTCGCTTCGACCTATAGAGTAGGAAAGGATGGTAGGTGTAGCAGTTGTTACGTGCATTGATCTCATTGGTGAATGCAATGTATATGGACGTTGTTAGTATATCAACTGTAGCTTACAGCGATCGCAGCCGTAGTGTTATTACCAAGTTGTTGGTTGGGTCGATATCGTACTTTCGGTTTGTCGGATTGTCCCACTAGGTTACTGTGACATGTTAGGGTATGCTAGGGCTAGTTTACACTTGAAAGAGATCAGATACCTACAGTGTATTGCATGGAGGTTGAGATAGCAAGTGAGTTTTTACAGTGTTCACTAAATACACTATATTTCCACGAGGCGGTAGGGAATATATACGAGCAGTTTTCTTTGGGGAATCCCCGGACAATGGCGGACTTACCAATGAGCGGGAATAGAAGTGTCACACAAGAAGGATCATAAACTTGTTCTCGTTACACTTGAACGGAATCAGATAACTGCAGTTTAATGGCAATACACATACGTTGAACAAGGGGCACTGCATGAAAAACTATTTTTTAATTTGACACTTCATAAACATTTGTTACTGGAAGATGATGTGGAAGATGATATAATACTGTGACATTACTTGGGGGTATTACACAAATAGTAGAATGGATGAACATTTCTACACGGACTATTTTCATTAACATCGCCTCCACAGAAATCAGTTTCCGGAACATAAGTCCATGCTGTACCTAAAGCATATACATTACAGTGTGTAAATAAACTCCCAGAGTGAGTGAGTGAGTGAGCTTTTAGCAATATTCCAGCAATACCACGGCGAGGGAAACCAGAAATGGGCTTCACATATTGTACCCACGTCGGGAATCGAACCTTGGTCTTCGGCGTGACGAGCGAACGCTTTAACCACTAGGCTACCCGATCGCCCATAAAATCCCAGAGAAACCATGGGGTGGCTGTATCTCGCACATTTCTGATTCATGCATCATATGCTTCTAAGTTTCTTTCACTCTCCTGTGTATATAATAATGTATAAATATTTATAATATAAACACGCTTATGTATATTGTGTAATCTCCCAAACCAAAGGAGTAAAAAAGGAGTGGTATTTCATATTGATATAGTCACCTAAATATTAGTCAGTTGTTATATTGAAGATAATACACGCATTCTGAGTTAGCTAAACTGGTGATTGATGGCATGAACATTTTCATGTAAATCATATATCATATATAAATAAATATATGTAATCACGATGATTGGCGTTTTTCAGGAGCAGTGGGTTATATAAGTGTAAAGAATGTTGCAAAGATTTTCAAACCGATCTTGCATTATTCCAACATCTGACTTCGAGAAGCAAGCGATGCGGGAACAGTGCTTGCTTTTATTGCGACTACGGTGAGAGCGTTCCCGGTGGCTTGTCAGATCACATCAAGACACGACATTCTGTTTTCGAATGTGCATTTTGTTCTAAGAAATTCTTCTTGAGAACTCATTTTGAGGTACACATGAAACACGAAGAAGGCATAGTGAATTCATGGAGGGATGATCCTTTGCCTGGAATGGACGACACAGAATCATTCAGCGAATTGATAGAACGCCTGAATCCGGATGCAATTGTTTACGAAGAGTGTCAAAGAATTAAGGAAAAGTTGGAATGGTTCATGCACCACAACACATCTTACAAGAAATGCCACATCACCATGGTAAGGTAAAGATGGCGCGTTGATTATGATTATACTTTTGTATAGTTTGCATTATGTTTACAATGTTATGATAAGCTGAGCAATTGAACCACCAACTAATAAACCGTGTTTATACCTTGAGACAACTAAAGTTTGATTGTTTAATGTATAAATGTGAAGAAGGAAAATGTAAATGGGTTTTACTTTACTCGGCTTCCAGTCACAATAAAGTGCCATGAAAATCCTTCAAACGTGTTGTCCATGCGGAGAATCGAACCCAAGTCATGAACTCGAAGAGCCAACGCTTTAACAAACTAACTACCCCACCCCTTGCATACAGTAAAACAACAATGTATTACAAATATACTTAAGTTTCCAAAGATGTTGTTTGTAATTATGAATAAAGTCATACTTAGGAGATAAAAGCACTATGTTTTGAATGTAGCGCTAGTCCTGCAGGCACATTTCAACGCTGAAACTGCGCCATGTGCCTGCTTGGAGATTACCTGTAGATTTAACCGCGCTAAATTAAATTTGGTAAACCGAACGCGCTTTTAGAAGAACAGGTAACCTAGCTCTACATTAAAAACACAATTTACGGAATCACCGACAACAGCCTTAAAACAAAATATGGCGTTCTGTATGCTCAAGCAGTTTGTTAACACCGTAATACCTCACTCGAACTTACGACAGGCACTGAAAGCATGTAGCACGGCAACTTCGTAAAGTAACGTGGGCACCCCTAAAGAAAACTAAGCAAGCCTTGTAAAGGTTACGTTCTGCACCGCACGTCACTATAATGATGTCATATCAGTCATCGTGACGCAAAATATATGACGTCACAGAACAAGCGTCAAATAGCTAGTTTTCCGTTGTCCTCAAAACTTGAAATACATTCTGTTTGTAAGTTTTCGAGTTTTCCGATAACCTAACATCATTCGAATATTGCAGTAACCGCAATATTTCAATATTTTGACGTTTCCCTTACTTTAATCGTAACCTTTTGCAAATTAACACAATTTGCCATACAAATATGTGATAAATCATGTATAAAAACAACCGAAAACATGGAAAATGTACTTTCAAGTAGCTATTGAGTCGCTGAAATGTGAAGCGAAAATGTCAAAAACTAAAATGGAAATGTCAAAAACCAAAACGAAAAGGTCAAAAACTAAAATGAAACCACAGAAAACTATTTCCACCGCGGTGATAATATTCCCAGCGCGGTGATAATATTTGCAAAAGGTAACGATAAATGTAAGTGAAATATCAAAATATTGAAAAACAGACTCCGTGTCCCTTATGGGCCACCGTATATATGTACCTTCAATGAGTTTGGAGCTTAGTCAGTTTTGTTACAATTATACAAAATCTATTTCACAAAGAAAAATATATTTATGTTTGTAGATGTGTAGCCATACAGAAATATTAAGCTTTAGAGTTTCTAGTATTCAATGCTGTCTCAAACATCACTATTGACTCATAATACTAATTTATTACAAATTGTCAATCAATGTCAAAGAGATATCTTGCTATTGAGGTATTAATGCACATCTACCGTAAACTACGGTTATAACGGACTCAAAGAGACCACTTATTTGAGGTCGTTATAACCGTAGTTCGCATATATACAGCATATGTACAGCAAATGGCCGGGACCCAAAAAATAAGCTTGTTATATCCGCCAGTTCGTTGTGAGCGTGTTCGTTATAAACGTAGTTTACTGTATTTTTTATTTATTTGTATTGTCATTTCCAGGCAGGATCAATAGCCAAACAAACTCCATTAACAAAGGCAGATGTCGACCTGATTCTCTTCTTGCATGAGTACAAAACCATGACGACATTTATAGAAAGCAAAGAAGAGATCATAGAACGAATCAAACGCCATGTCGAAAATCGGGACATGAATTGGGCCCATGGGCTGAGGTTTCAAAAGCGCACACCAAACTCAATACAGTTTGAGCTGAGTGTTAGTGGCAGTTGCACGTCGATGGATGTGGATCTACTACCAGCTGTGCAACTGTTGCGCCGTAACAGTTCTTCTGAGAGGGGTATATTCGTATCATTTATGAAGTTGATCATCAGTTATTTGTGTCTATCCACGAACACGAAATATATATTAGCTTTCACCATATAATTATGTTGAACTTATTGTTACTAAATTAAACACAGATCAGACATTACTAGCAAAGGGTACTAATTTATTAAATTCACATGTCCGGCACTTTCATATCATAATTTCATTGTTTAATGATACATGTGTGTATAAACAACAGTATGATGTGAGCTATTGTGGTTAAGATGAACATCGCATTCACGTTTGTACTGATTGATTCTTCCTGTTGAATGGAGTATTTGATACAAACGGTAGTATACTAATCTCAAACCTTTTTCTTTTTGCAGATGCATTGTACACAAATATGAAGTCCATGTCAGCAAAGGAGAGGAAACATTGTGGGCCGTGCCTGTCTGAGCTGCAGGTCGAGTTTGTGCAGAACGTACCAGACGCGTTGAAAGACGTCATCCGGATAGTCAAATATTGGATCAAAATTATACGCAAGGTACGTGATATAATTGGTTCTTCTGTGATTGTTTAACTTTGATTGCTTTGATTTTTTCTTTGTTGTTTAACGCCGCACCATGAGCATCAATCCACGCAGTTGGGATACGATGACACGTATAAACCAAGTCAGCCAGCCTGACCACCCGACCCCGTTAGTCGCCTCTTACGATAAGCATGGGCTGCTGATTATCATTTCTTACCCGGAATATCAACTGGACGTTATGTGTACGTTTGTTGTGGACCCGTGAAGATCCGGGGTAGAATAGGTCTTCAGCAACCAATGCTTGCCGTATAAGGCGACTATGCTTATCCTAAGATGCGACTGTGTTGTGTTGTTCCTCGTCTCAACTGGATTCTTCTAAGATGCTAAAAACAACTAACGTTAGTCATTGCGCTTCGACATATGTGAACACAAATCATGTCACAGCATGTCGTCCTGAAGAGTCAATCATAATCAAAAGGTATGGGCGATATATTCACTCTGGAAACGCTATGGTCGGGGCCTTAACTAACGGTGTCGCAAACAGAGAGGCCTTTGGTACAGACTCAGCTAAGACATGGAGCCTCACACCCGAAGCCAATGTCTGGTTATTACACGCGCGCCCACGGAACAACAGCCACATGTAAATTATGTTTTGATTTTTAGGATGAGAGGTGTAAAACAGTCCGGTGTTACTTCTGTGAGTTAGTGGTCATTGACTATTGGATGAAAAACAACTCACCTGACGACCACGAGATCGACATTGATGACTACGTCATACAAGTCTTATACCGCCTCTGTTTCTGTCAGAGTCTTCGGATCATTTGGCCTGAAACTTACGACTTCCTCAAATACAGAAGTGAAGAGTAAGTACAGAAATGACGATTTCATGCAATATGTTTTGACACGATGACGAATAATGCATTAATATCTACGTTCCAAACCTGCAGATTTAAACCACAGTTGGTTTCCATTTCATTAGCTGGACAGCGGGGGCATGCTATATCACAATTCAACGACGTCATTTTATTTCGTGTGGCAAACTTAAATATTTACGAGCTACGAGGTATGAGTTAATGCTTTTTTACCCCTATGAATGAATGAATGAATGAATGAATGAATGTTCGAACGAACGAACGAACGAATATTATTAATATTTAGCTTCTGGACGCTCTATTCATGATGACATTGAACATGACATTAACGTTTCATTCATCTGCGTATACACATTATCGGAATACTATATACGCTTTTATGTTCGCTTAATAACAGCATGGTCATCCATATCAGATAAAGTAAAGTCCTTATGCTGAAAAAGTAATTTTGTTTCTTTATTTCAGAGCCGAGCCTATAGTACTGGATCCTGCAAATCCCTTTGTGAATGTTGCGCCCAACATGAAGGATGCTTTACGAGTGAGTCAGTGCGCCATTGAGCTGTTTGAAAGATATGGCACTGTCAAACCTAAACACTTGTCTTCTAGACAATTGGCATACCGAAATCCAGCCTATATCTGCCCTTCTGTGGCCTTACAACTACCTGCTGCCGTGGCGATAGACATGGGGGATTCCTTTCCTGATGATGTTTCTACAGGTACTGGGGTCATGTCATCGGTGAATGCCCAAATGCATTCGAGCAACCCTAGTTCGAAAAGACCAGCAAAATCCCTCTGTGTCTGGAGATGCAAGTTGCTGCTGGGGTTGCTGCTGGTACTAGCTGTTTTAGGAGTCATAATATGGAGAGTGAGTTCATAAATTCCATCGGTCAAAGATGAAGAAAGGGACCACAGATGTTAACTTTCAATCAAAGGATTGGTGCCAACTTCCGGACATATATATCAATGTGATGTTAATTCAGAACCGGAGTTGTTACTTAGTATATTGCAAAGTTATATTTTGCGATAGTGACACAGGCATGTCATAAACATTAAATTGATTTGCATAACTGATCTTTATACATGTTATCCGACATGACTGATTAACAACCCTTTCTTATTGTTTAACAGAGCAACGTTCTGCATGAAATATATCACTATTTTTATATATATATATATAGAGAGAGAGAGAGAGAGATAGAGAGAGAGAGAGAGAGAGTGAGTGAGTGAGTTTGGTTTAACGCCGCTTTGAACAGTATTCCAGTTATATCGCGGCGTGTCAGCTTAATGTGGGAGGAAAGCCCGAAGTGATGCAGGTCTCAGACGTTTACCACTTCGGTGAAACCCACAAGCACGGGTATGGTGCTGACAAACCTAGAAACATAATCAGGGCGAACCGGGATTCGAACCCACAATCATAGGTTTCTGGCGTGCCCAAGGGACGCAACTCTGCACAGCGAATCGCGGCGCCTTAGACGACTAGGCCACCCGTGCCCCCGAGAGAGAGAGAGAGTATACATAGTTAGCGTTTATGTTGATGTTGTATTGATGTTGATGTTGTGTTGATGTTGATGTTGTGTTGATGTTGATGTTGATGTTGATGTTGTATTGATGCCGGTTTTAACAATACTTCAGTCATGTCAAGGAGTATCCGCTTAAACTGGCCCACGGGCCGGGAGGCAGCTCGTTGAAAGTTAAAACTTGGTCATTCCTACAAGAACTAGAACAACGGCATTGTTTGAACAATCTGATATTTGAGTTGGAGGATCCTGCAACGGCTAAGGGTAGCTACTCTGCAAACCTGACGTGACCATGAAGTGCATCAATCCAAGTAAAAAGTGTACGTACTGCAAAATGCATAATCAAGTTTATATCTACTATGAAATATCACTAACCAACATCAATTGGGAGCAAAACCTTGGGATAAAAGTTAGCTTGGGACCAAACTGTACTTGACTCAATAAACAGTACTACTAGTGTTGGCATGTTTTGCTTCATTTTTTAAGTGTGAAATATAAATTCTAACATAGGGCCAGTTCAAAAAGCATGAGGTGGGCTTTAGGAAGTACTGAGTACAGGAAGCTAAACATACAACCCCCAGTTCCGCACCTAATGTAACCTACGTGAACATATTTGTGGTCACATTCAGCATAAATCATCATGTTAAAAAAGACTTTACTAAAAATAGAAAAAAACATGGTCTCTTTTAATTACTGGATGGATGTACATTTACGAGACATAAACATCTTACACAATATCATCCAATCACAGACTGCAGATTCTGGAGGCTCCCTGCGAAAACGGCACAGTCACAACTGGTTCAGATTTGGTGTAGTGGAACCTGTAGGGTCAATAACATTTCCGAAAAGTGCCACGCTGTCTTCTTCAAACACCTGTCCGGAGAAAGCAGTCCGTAGTTGAAGCTGTGGGTCACCAGGATGGCCTTTGGTCACCGTCGTGATAACTCGAGTGATAATAAACATAGGGACCTGGATCGCAGGCTCTCTGACCTGACAACTCTGCAGACCGCAAAACCCGACGAATCCCAACAACCTCGACTCTGTCAGCCACCTGATGTTTTGTTTGCACTCATCAATATTCCAGCTATATGACGGCGGTCTGTAAATAGTCTGGACCAGACAACCCAGTGATTGACATCATGAGCATCGATCCCCGCAATTGGGATGCATGGGATACGATGACATGCATCAACCAAGTCAAAGAACCCTACCACCCGATCCCGTTAGTCACCTCTTACGTCAAGCATAGTCGCCTTTTACGGCAAGCATGGGTTGCTAAAGACCATTTCTACCCATGGTAACCAGTGACGTCACAATGGTCTGCAAGGCATTGTGATGTAATTTCATTGCAAGCGGTATCTCATCCAAGCGATATCTCCTGTGGGAGCCAGTTTTGATGATAAATCGCATGTCAAACAGATATACCTGATATCATTTATTTATACATTTGCTAGATTTGTTCAATTATTCAACAGTGGCAGTATATAAATATGTCTCGCCGAACTGTCGAATTAACTTGAGTGCTCAACCCGTGACCAGAACCGAATTGTCCAGTCACAAAATTACCTCAAGTTTAGATTTTAGACTCTTCAAGCCGACACCGTTTTGTCATGCCCAATTAATTCCTCATAATGTTCTCAACTTTCTCATGAGAGAAGCCAACTTTATTGGCTATGTGGCGAGTCGGCGATCATCTATTATGATATGTATGTTTTCAAAAGTGTCCTTAGAGTTGGCAGTTGGAGGACTCCCTGATCTTGGATCACCTTCGAGACTCAGTCGTCCCCTCTTCTTGAACTCCACTGCCCACTTCGAGACTCTCTCGTCCCCTCCTCTTGAACTCCACTGTCCACTTCGAGACTCTCTCGTCCTCTCCTCTTGAACTCCACTGCCCACTTCGAGACTCTCTAGTCCCCTCCTCTTGAACTCCATTGCCCACTTCGACACTCTCTCGTCCTCTCCTCTTGAACTCCACTGCCCACTTAGAGACTCTCTCGGCCTCTCCTCTTGAACTCCACTGCCCACTTCGAGACTCTCTCGTCCTCTCCTCTTGAACTCCACTGCCCACTTCGAGACTCTCTCGTCCCCTCCTCTTGAACTCCACTGCCCACTTCGAGACTCTCTCGTCCTCTCCTCTTGAACTCCACTGCCCACTTCGAGACTCTCTCGTCCCCTCCTCTTGAACTCCACTGCCCACTTCGAGACTCAGTCGCTCTCTCCTTTTGAACTCCACTGCCCACTTCGAGACTCTCTCGCCCGCTCCTCTTGAACTCCACTACCCACTTCACGACTCTCTCGTCCTCTCCTCTTGAACCCCACTGCCCACCTCTCAACAGTAACAAAGGCAGGAGAATAATCCCCTTGCATTGCCACAATGACCATCACGATTGGATATGTCTGATGACAGCACGCTAACAGAGAATACCTAGACAGGTTGAAGCCTGCAGGAATATTCTTCCAGGTTGTGTATTTGCTTCAAATACGGCCCATAAGCATGCAATTAACACATTCAGACTGTTTACTAGTAAGGATCAGTAACTCTCAGCCGCAAGGATATTTCCGGTAACTATATATTTATTCTGGTTGTGGTAATTAGTATTATACGAGTTTATCATCTGGATGGCCTTTGGTCTCCGTCGTGTTCATCCGAGTGAGATAAGGCATAGGGACTAGAAGGACTAGAAGTGAATGGCTAAGTCACTAATGATTCACTGATCGCCGTTTAATGTGTGTATTACAAAACTTTAAGTAAAGTATATGTAACATAATCCTTCCTTCTAACTATAACGGTGTTTTCAGCCAGTGCAAACTCCACCCCAATGAAGTCAGCGAGGTGTATAGTGAGCAACAAGGAAGTAGATAACACAGTTTCAACCCACTCGCCCTGTAGCGCTAAAGAGCCTGATTCACTAAACTAGGTCGAACATATATTTATGTATAGGCTGGCTTTTTCAAGGTAAAACTATGTTGTGACCGTAGTCAATAGGAACACAATTACATGTTCCTAACGTTATGGTTAGGTACCAAGTAAAGTAAGTCTATGCGACCTTTAAAACACGCGGTCACATACATACACACACATACACACACATACACGCACAAACACGCACGCACGCACGCACGCACACACACACACACACACACGAACGCGCACGCGCATGCACACACACACACACACACACACACACGCACGCACACATACAAACAGGCACACACATACACACGCACACACACACAGACACACCGGCACACAGACACGCGCTATGAGTGTGTAATTGCAAGGGCCATTCACATGGCGTTTAATTAGTTTAATTAGAAATGACACAAGTCAGCTACCAAAGCTAGACCACCATTTGCCGGACTTTCATTTTTGGTGGAAGCTTCGGTGGCTGAGTTGGTTTGATCGCTGACGTTGTGTGCTGGAGAGTAAGTGTCGATTCGAATCCGGATGGGACTCAACCCAAATAAGTACTGGAATCTGTACTTTACAAAGAAAGTGTTATCCCAAATATGACATGTGTTATAATGAATGATGTATATATAATCGTATGATGACAGCTAGTTGTATTTGTCACAGGAACACTACTTGTTTCACAGTGTCTTTAGAATTAGACATGTAGCCTTGCTGTCTTCATTGACCATCTCTCACAGAACGCATGCTGTACTGGGACCTGCGTGCTACTGGACAACAACGGAGCCTATGGACGAGGTCGATCTCAAGTGTGTTTCAACAGAATGAATGAGATTTGAGTAAGATGTAGTTGTAGTTTAGTGTCATTTATAGCTCAAATGGATAGAATTATTATTAAACCGCCCGCTTGTTATAACAAAAATGAGCGGGACACTGTAACTTGATAATGCCCTCATATTGCGTGACGACGGACCATTATTACGCCCGTTGTTAGGTGACGTCATAGGATAAGGAAAGGTGTCGTTACTTTTAATAGTGACGTCATCTGGCTTGTTCTATGACGTTTCCATATTTGTAAAAGTGGGTCAGTGACATTCATGTTGATTGCAGTAAATGTTTTCCATCCATTTTTAGCTATAATAACGCTAACGCTAATTTTCAGGGCATTATCATTTGCAGGAACCCTCGGTCTTTTCAACTGCCCTCCTTCGTAGGGCAGTTAATCGAGGACCTCGGGCTTCTGCAAATGACAGTGTCACGAAAAATAGCGTTACCCTTATAATAACCGCAACATTCCATGCGAGAATGCTTTGTAATAATTTACTTCCAACACATGCCTGTTACAAGTTTACGTTGTTGGCACTAAGCCAGGTTTATACTGTCTACCAATGTTGGTAACCAGACAAGCGTGACCATGATTCGACCACAACGTCGAAAGTCGACACAATTCGATTAATATTCTATATGTTCCAGGACGTTATTTTCATTTTCGTATTTTCTTCGGAGTGGTTGTTGTGAACTTCATGCATTTATATGCGGATTATGGCAGGTTCAAATCTACATATTCAGCGATCGTCCTGATGTCTATTTATGTGGCTGATTCTAAGGAATTGAGTTTATATTTAACCATGACACGCCATGAGGTTTGGGAGGCTATTTCATAGGTAAGGAATGTGTTGGTGTCATATTGGACTGGAACGTCGGACTGTTAAGACCCTGCACGTAAGTTTGTTACGAAGGAATCATCACATATGACAAGCAAACACTGTTTGTCCATATCATAGCTGTATAATTAACTGCCTCAAATGTAAAATGTGTTTTTTATATTTGTCTTTTTGACCGACTGGACAAGATGTCATAGAAGCGTTATATGTATAAGGGTCCCCAACAAAGTGTTATTGAAATTATTATATTGCTTCAAGCTTTTTTGACGCAAACTTACTTCAAGTATGATTTAAGCTGTCTTCAAAACGTCAGCGTTGATATACGTCAGGCTATACATGTAATCTGGTTTCGCTTCAGGTGTTAAAACTTTTACAACAATGGGCCAAGCGCGACTGCTTTTAATATTGACAGGTAAGTGTTGATGATGATATATAGCGACGTGCATGCACGTGTGTGTGTGTGGCTGCTTGTACTAGTCCGGACTGATGCCGATTTATAGTGCTAGCACACTGAGATACCATGCCGCAGTTTAACATGAATACCCTACTCAGAAACAGTATACTGACTCCGAGCCGACCAGTCCTTGTTATATCCTATATATTCCATTGTTAAAGTTTATGTTAACAATTTAAGCGTTGTATCGGAATCATATGTACTGGTCCTGTCGTTTATACCGGTCCTATACCGAGCGCCAGACAGGGTAACAACAAGTACCATCTTTTAACGTCATTTGGTATGACGCGGCCGGGGATCGAACCCCGGACCTTCCGTTATCCGGGCGGACGCTCTACCACTAGACCACGGAGGCGGTCTTATGATCATGTAATAGAATGGAAAATCGATTATGTAGAATTAATGAGTGAGTGATTATTTATATGCAAATGTTCATGAAAAAAGTTTCATGGGATCCATGGTTTAGACCTTGGTTTTTCCTCAAGTTCAGCAATGGCAATACGTCAATCTGACAGTATAAGGGTATATTTACCTCAATGATTGAAACTTCATTGATGGAAGTTGAGGGACGTCCAGACCTCGGGTCATCATCAAGGCGTGTTCTTCCAGCTTAAACGTGTGGAATAGCTGGGGCACTTATCACAATACACTTCTGACATGCGGTCATGGGAGTATTTCTCTCTAAAGTCAAAGACTTGATGAATGCTCGGTACTCGTTCTGTTCCATTTCTGTGTCCACTTGGACCCCTATCATGTTCAACTGGCTGTCATTAAAATAAAAGTGGCCTCAATAGATCAAATTCACTTGCAATGAACTACTCAAACTGCTACATGGACTAGTCAGGCTTAGGACAACAACTAAAGACGCCATAACGAATTTATTATGCCAAACAAATTTCACTATTGGGTATCTTGGTCGCACATGTCATGTCAAAATGAAAACCTAACACTTATAACCGGTATAAACGACAGGAACAGTACATATGTTTCCGATACAACTCTTTAATGTTAGCATAAACGTTAACAATGAAATATATAATGCGCACAATGTGAACGTTTAAAGTATTATAACTAAAATGGATAGAATTATCATGCAAATGCCCGCATATTATCAGAAATCTGAGGGCTCCTAATTTGACAGCAGTCCGCTTTACCGTAACGACGGGCTGCTGTTTATTCTATTGCTATGTGACGTCATTGACGTCACATTTTTTTGTTTGTGACGTCATCCTATATTATGTTCTTTGACGTTACTATTTGTAACTCAGTGACCTCCGTTGTAGGATTTTTTTTCTGTATCTTTTATAAATAAAGTCACGAAGGTCGATTCTTTGAAAATGATTTTCTTTGCGCATCACAATTAATTAAAATCAAAACACAAAACAGTGTCGAATAATGATTTTCTGTACCAGACTTTTCATGTGAAATATGTGAGGCGGCTGTTTGAAAATCCAAAATAGCTGTTACTGACGGAGTCTTCTCATATTAGGTCAGGAATAGCCATCTTTGATTTATACTGACGGTATAGGGGCTCATATGGGGTCAGTAGTTCTGCCTTCTGATTGGTCAATCTCACTTTAAGGCATAATAAAGGGTGCTGTGTTGTCGCCTGGTTGTCTGATGTGTTTCCAGGCCGCCGTCATGTGGCAGGGGTACTGCTGTGTTGTGTTGTCGCCTGGTTGTCTGATGTGTTTCCAGGCCGCCGTCATGTGGCAGGGGTACTGCTGTGTTGTCGCCTGGTTGTCTGATGTGTTTCCAGGCCGCCGTCGTGTGGCAGGGGTACTGCTGTGTTGTGTTGTCGCCTGGTTGTCTGATGTGTTTCCAGGCCGCCGTCATGTGGCAGGGGTACTGCTGTGTTGTGTTGTCGCCTGGTTGTCTGCTGTGTTTCCAGGCCGCCGTCGTGTGGCAGGGGTACTGCTGTGTTGTCGCCTGGTTGTCTGATGTGTTTCCAGGCCGCCGTCGTGTGGCAGGGGTACTGCTGTGTTGTGTTGTCGCCTGGTTGTCTGATATGTTTCCAGGCCGCCGTCGTGTGGCAGGGGTACTGCTGTGCTGTGTTGTCGCCTGGTTGTCTGATGTGTTTCCAGGCCGCCGTCATGGGGTTGTCGTGTGGCAGGGGTACTGCTGTGTTGTGTTGTCGCCTGGTTGTCTGATGTGTTTCCAGGCCGCCGTCGTGTGGCAGGGGTACTGCTGTGCTGTGTTGTCGCCTGGTTGTCTGATGTGTTTCCAGGCCGCCGTCATGGGGTTGTCGTGTGGCAGGGGTACTGCTGTGTTGTCGCCTGGTTGTCTGATGTGTTTCCAGGCCGCCGTCATGGGGCAGGGGTACTGCTGTGCTGTGTTGTCGCCTGGTTGTCTGATGTGTTTCCAGGCCGCCGTCATGGGGCAGGGGTACTGCTGTGCTGTGTTGTCGCCTGGTTGTCTGATGTGTTTCCAGGCCGCCGTCGTGTGGCAGGGGTACTGTTGTGTTGTCGCCTGGTTGTCTGCTGTGTTTCCAGGCCGCCGTCGTGTGGCAGGGGTACTGCTGTGTTGTCGCCTGGTTGTCTGATGTGTTTCCAGGCCGCCGTCGTGTGGCAGGGGTACTGCTGTGCTGTGTTGTCGCCTGGTTGTCTGATGTGTTTCCAGGCCGCCGTCATGGGGCAGGGGTACTGCTGTGCTGCGTCAGGCAATAGGAACCTACTTCTTTGTGCAAATTGTTTGCATGGCGGATGTTACCTGTAGGGCAGCATATGCTTACCCTTTTCGAGAACCCCTGGTGTCACCACTCATTTTCCGTGGTCCATTCATATAGCCTTCACAGCTATTTGTCCTTTACGCCAGATTGAATATCTTAAGGTGGATAATCTAGATTAGTTATTCTCTTGTATTGACAATTAATATTATTCATTTGATAATTCGTATTATTCTAACTGGACCATATCAGAATACTAACTACAAATGCGGTTGCATGACACATAACGAGTGGTTTTAAATTCATAATGTTTTTGTCTTTCAGTTGGATTACTTTGGAATTTGAGCAGTGTAAGTAGTCGGCTTTAAAACATATTGTTATAAGGTAAAAGTGCATTCCCAAAACCTTAGGAAATTATAACAAAGTCACCCTTTAAATTGATGGTTATAGCTTAAACAAAAGGAAGACAAAGTGCCGCCAATTTGGCGCAAACAAGCAGGAAATCAAGAGGGCGATGACAGATACACGATATTTAGGAATAGCTTCGGAGTTGTTGTCACCAATTAATCAATAGACATGTGTAATCGGTTAGTTGGTTCTAGTGGTTTCCCGATCACGACACAAACACGAGTTCATGGTCTGATATTGTTCTTAACCAATAAAACTGATATATGCGGACATATGACAAAGACAGGCCAGGCCCGAACACTGTAAAATGATACCGTCAACATTAGGAGAGGAGAGTGCGGCTTTGAAGTCGATCGAGTGGAACTCCGATCGTTCTAAGTTCCCCACTCAGTGACGAGCCTGGTCGGTTTGATCCTGTATTGACAGACGGACTGAAGAGACAGTAAAACTAATGTGAGCATAAAGCCTGGGGTTGCGTTTCTTTAGGATGCGAGTATGACTGCTGATGGAGACAATTCGGAGTACGCGTTGATAGACCAATCACTCCTTGACTTTGATGACCCGATGCTGACCAGGCAAGCTGTAAAGGTATGGCTTAACTGACCATGACGACACGGAAAAACAATACGTTTAGGTAACTGTAGAAGGTCCCCCTGGACGCCCTAACGCAGTTACGACAATATACAACGAACGCGTTATTGATAACTGTTTGTAGCACTGATGTCTATACGCACACATGCACCTGGACAGTGAGTGTGAATTATAGGTGATCAGGACAGCTTTCAGTTTCATTACAGTCTGAATATACCAAGAATGGGTTTCCCACAAATTACATATATTGGGAATCAAACACAGGCCTTATGTGTGACGAGCCAACGCTGACCACTAGGCTACCCTACTAATGACACACACGGGGATGCAAACATTAGTGAACTGAACGGCCTTGAGCTCAGAAAATGGGCACATTTCCGAACACAGTCTATCATTTGTTTAACAGTTCTAGTCAGTTGGCAATCAGCGGAAAAGAGGCTTAGTTTAGATTTTCGCTCCCACATTTTCCTGTATACCTTAAACCTTTTCTATTGCATAAAGGACGTATCTGTACACAATTTTCATTGGGTAGTAAGCTTGCAAGTGTGTGCGTGAAGTTTCAGGGGGTCAAAATTGCATTAATTGAAGGAAAAATGCATAATTTGACAAACTTGGCTGTAACATTTTTATTAAGTCATTAAACTATCCAAATTATGTTTTTGATTACAGGTAATGTGTTCGGTTATCTGAATTTGGCAAACATTCTATGTGTCAGTTATTCATGTTATTTTTAAATTACTTAAATTAGTGGAAATCATTACATATAATTCCAGGGAAAGGTATACCAGTTACTAGCCTTGGGCAATAGCATCAACGCCTCAATCACAAGGGAAGATTACCAAAGACAGAAAACGAATCTGATAGACGTTATCAATACGAATGCCATTTTCCAAGAGGCTTACCTTGACGCGTCAGAAGAGAAGCGAGAACGCGTCAGAACCAGAGGGAGGTCATACGGCTTGACAGATGAGGAATCTTTGGCTGTCATGGTGTATACATCCACTTCAGTGAATGGGGAATTCAACATGGTTTTAAGAGATGGTATTCGACACAAATATGACATACCCCATCAAGTCCTTCATTACCATGTTATCAGCGCATTAGAAAGGTTACGTGTGTCACAAACGCTCCCTCGTGTTTTGTACAGAGGTGACCAAAATTCCTATCAGCACTTAAGCCAAGGAGACAAAGTACAACTTGCAGGATTTACCTCAGCCGTATATAATCTCAGAATAGCAAACAGAATCCGCAAAGATGGTGGGGCGTTATTTGTGTTGAAGGGTGTTGGTTTCGGGGCAGCTATAACAAAGTTGTCTCTTTATCCCGACGAAGCTGAGATCCTAATTCCACCGTATGAATCTTTTAAAATTACCAAAGTTGCAAAAGATGCCAAAGGTCCGGTTATTGAACTAACTAGCATTGGGGAGACGTGTGGCAGAAAGAGTCCACAGACAGGATGCCAGTGTTGTAGACAATCAGCGGAGGAGATTTTCAGCATAGCCTATCAAGACTTGGGAATATTCCCCGTTGTTGTAGCATTGCTCATACTTACTGTAGGTGCTATATATATATGTCCTTGATATATTCGTTCTGTAAGGAGTCTTCGTCCAATATTTCGTAGATCATGCTTAGGCGGGACTGGCTATATGTGTTGTTAATGCAAATTTCCACCTGGAAAACATACCGTATTCAACGTAATAAGCGCCCAGGGCGCTCTCAAAATTAGAAAGAGGGAGCGCTTATTAGAATATTATTGTGAGTTGAAAGGTCGTACATTTCGTGGTTTATGCTAAACAGCCTGAAATGTTTACATACGACAGATATTTTTCAAGAATTTAATTGCCCATAATAAAGGGTGATATAATCCACGAGTGCGTATTATACACGAATAAATAAGGCTTGTGTACATTTATCAATCGGAAGGGGTGCTGATTGGGATTGTTCACTGGCCAACATATAAGCAAATATCGCCATGGGCGCTTATTAGAGCGGGGCTCTTATTACGTCGAATACGGTACTTTAGATAACTTGATTCAGTGACGCAATTCCAGGTGTGCAGTTGGAGATAACTGTCAGTTGTAAATGCTCGTTGCTTGTGGATCTCATTAATGGAGCCTTTCACGTTAACTGCGGGAGTAGTTATTGATTCAAATTTACGTTAAGTTTAAACACATGCTTATGATATATATTCAGAGTCGAACAATGGACTCCGATTTTAGCAGATTTCTTTGGAAAGGGTTTAGTTGATTATAATTCTTTATTTAAGCTGTTAACATTATATATTATCTCGCAAAACGGTTTAATGCGATTAATGTGATATTTATATATGCACGTATTGAATATATTTTGTTTTGCATGTTTCTGAAGGTGTGCAATTTCTTTAGTCTTTCCTTGTGTTGTATTCTTTTTCCAAACTTCTCCAACAGTATAATAAAATAGCATATGCTTCTATACGTTGTTGATTTGCTTAGAGACAGGGGGCACGGGTGACCTAGTCGTCTGAGGCGCCGCGATTCGCTGTGCAGAGTTGCGTCCCCCGGGCACACCAGAAACCTATGATTGTGGGTTCGAATCCAGGTTCGCCCCGATTATGTTTCTAGGTTTGTCAGCACCATATCCGTGCTCGTGCGTTTCACCGAAGTGGTAAACGTCCGAGACCTGCATCACTTCGGGCTTTAATCCCGCATTAAGCTGACACGCCGCGATATAACTGGAATACTGTTAAAAGCGGCGTGAAAACCCAACTCACTCACTTAGAGACATTTACATTATATGAACACACATGGTTGCCTCAGGGAAACAACTCTCTTGTGTAGAAACCAGGTTTCGGGTAATTAAACACATAAAACCAGTCCAGAGTATAGCTATCACCGAAAAAATAACACGTCACCATATATAAAGTAAGTGAGTGAGTTTTGTTCAACGTCGGTTTGAACGGTATTGCAGGAACGGCGTGATGTGGGTGGCGAAAGCCACGACTACGTGTACGATGCTGACAAACGTAATCTGAGTGAACCAGGATTCAGCAAAAAACTACCATAGGATTCTGGCAATCCTAAGGGACGCAACTCTGTACAACGAATTACGACGTCTTAGGCAAATGGGCCACTGAGCCCAACATAGTCCTCCACCATGACTGTGGAATATATTTATTTTATGAAAAAAAAAATCTAAATTAGAAACGTATACAAAAGCAAGTCTAGCCAGCTCAAGCTAGCTCTATTCTACACATAGGGATTTTTTATATATTTTTAGTCAAGAAGGATATTGTGTCATATAAGATTTCAGAGACTAAATGTTAGTCTGAGCCTAACACTGAAGATGGAGTAACTGTTGGGAATGTGTGGAGGACTCTGAACATCGTCAGGCGTCATACAGATGCGACCGTAAAATAAACCAAACACATAAGGGACACAACTCCTTGCACTCTCCTTGCCGGTACTGTTGGACTCCAGAGCGACTGCACATAATGTTGACAAACTTCCTATGTTTGTTGTTGTTTGTTTGTTTGTTTTATTTGTTTGTTGTTTAACGCCGCACTCATACGCAGCTGTATGACGGCGGTCTGTAAATAATCGAGCCTGGACCAGACAATCCAGTGATTGACATCTTGAGCATCTATCCACGCAATTGGGATACGATGATATGCATCAACCAAGTCAGCGAGCCTGACCACCCGATCCCGTAAGTCGCCTCTTACGACAAGAATAGTCGATGTTACGGCAAGCATGGGTTACTGAAGACCTATTCTAACCCGGATCTTCACGGGTCTGTTCCGATGTCATCTGAACATGCTGCAAATAATAACTATTAACAATGTAGTTAGCGTTTTATCGGTATTACGATCCTTGTTCAAATAAAAATAATGAACAGTAATTTTCCTGGACCCTTTCCTCCAGGAATGCTACCGTGTCACAGCTTTGATAAGCTCAGTCAGAATCGAGTATTGTCAGTGTGATGCTCAGTGTTACATTCTTAGAATTTAAACATTGTCGACATGGCTAGGTTACCAATAAGAAAACCGCTTTCTTTTTACGATACATATTGGGAAGATTACATCCAAATTAGTTTAGGGTTGAATGACATCAGTTTGATTAATGTTACAATAATAATGATGCTGACACGCCGTGGTGTAGCTGAAATACTGTTTAAAGCGGCATTAAACCCAACTTATGTTTATGTCAGTGAGTGAAGGATCAAATACATTTATAATTGGTGTTCCTACACGGGTACAATGTGTGAAGGACATTTCTGTTGACTTTTTTTAAATATTGCTAAAAACCGCGAAAACCATACTCACTCACTCGCATTTTTGTGCATTAGTTATCTCATTGCTTACCATATCTTTTCAGAACCTCAGAACCTTATGTAACCATACGCATGTTGATTCTCGCAGTATGGTTGGTGTGTTGGTTTGTTGTTTAACGCCGCACTCAGCAATATTCTAGCTATATGACGGCGGTCTGTAAATAATCGAGTCTGGACCAGACAGTCCAGTGATTTACATCATGAACATCAATCCACGCAATTGGAATCGATTGACATGCATCAACCAAGTCAGCGAGCCTGACCACCCGATCCCGTTAGTCGCCTTCTACGACAAGCATAGTCGCCTTTTACGGCAAGCATGGGTTGCTGAAGACCTATTCTACCTCGGATCTTCACGGGTCTCTCGCAGTATGGGACCTATCCTGGCTAGGGTGTGTCTAAACCCTCGCAGACGGTTCTACTCATCTTTATGTATGTAAATCCAAAATTAACGGAACCTTAGAGAGCAGATCGAATACAACAGCTAGACGTTTAGAATTATTTGTACCCGGTAGTTGGCGCGGGCATGGTACGTTTATCGTTCATTACCATTTGACGATCATTCATCTTGTGTAGCATAGTACTCGATCAAAGTCCACGGTACCCTTCCTAGAACCTGGGTAATTTTACGGCAAATCAAGAACAGTTCTGGTACAGGGCCCCGTTCCACAAAGCGATCTTAGGGCTAAGTTGATTGTAACTCACTAAGTACGCGATCTTAAATTTTGGTTACGATCGGCCGCCCGTTCCACAAAGCAATCTTAACTAAGAGAGTTGTAAGTTAAGATCAAAATGCTAAGTTGCTCCGGACCAACTTAGGATCGCTAAAATCGATCTTAAATATTGTACCATAACAACAAAGATGACGTATGTTGACTTATTATTATATCAGATAACATTCTGACAGTCCACAGCTCACTTACTTGTTAGCGATGTCCTCCCATATGCTGCCTTTCAGCTTATTGGTGACGGTAGAGCTGAATGAGGAATTCAGTGTCGTGTGGTGAACAGCCACCTCATCAACAAGGACAGCGATCTCGCTTGCTGAAAAATTGCTGCGACGAACGTGTTTGACGCCGACAGAGGTCTGCGATTCGGCCATATTTCGACAATGCGTCGTCTGCTAAACATGACCAAGGGAGGCCACTCTTAGGGAAACTTTCGTATCTTCATGGCTGAAGATTCCGATCTTTGTTAAGATCGGCTACTTAAGAACTTGTAAAGTTACAATCGCCCTAAGATAGCTTTGTGGAACGGGCGTAAACTTTAGCTAAGACGATTTTATAATCGACGTAAGTCTCTAAGATTGATTGTAGTTACGATCGCTTTGTGGAACGGGACCCAGGTCTGTTATAACTATCACTGTCTCTGAATGGGTTCACAGGACCCTGACCGTGACGTATCCTAGTGACATCGTCACGTTCGTCGTAAGAAGCACCATGGTATGAATACCAATAACGTATGCAGTGGGTACGTTCATTGATGGACAAGAAGATACATACGTCCAAACACTAGTCCAGGGATATTTTGATCCACATAACTCCCTCACCTTTGGTAGGAAATACATTTGAACAAAAAATAAAAAATAGTAAGGGAAGTGAAAGAGTTACTGTATTATTTGAGGGGGTATGTTGTCCGTGTTTGAAGCAGCACTGTTCTGTTTACGGGTAGTAGTTGCTACAGAACCAAAGTAGACACAATTTATGCAAAACAACTTCATAAATTACTGTAGTCTGTCTTACAGACCCTGATAAAAATATATCAAATACAGCCCATTCAAGTCTATAATGTTGGCAAGTCTAGATTACTGCAGTATCTGAAAATGAAGAGAGTATTTGGGCTCCTTTTTATTAATTTTTTATTAAGATAATTTAACAACTGTTTTTATCTGTACGATATGTCCATTTCAGAGACTAGATGTAAGTCTATAATTACTGTGGTAGAAGTCGTTACCCATAAATTGTGTCTACTTTGTCCACTTCTAAGTAATGCCTATCAAACAAATCTACAGAACCGCCCATCACACTGTTATTGCTGCATGTGGAAAGTCTATCAAAATACCTGCCGTTGAACAAATGATAAACACTTCATCAATAAGAAAATTTGGCAGTGGCTTAAGGTTAGTATTGAGGTATGTTGATCGAGTAATATATCAGTGAAGATGTCGTGTCTGTGGTGTCTACAAGTCCAAGTCAATACATGAAGTATGGTTGATTTCGTAATATTTGTATGAAATATGTGTATCAAATATGTTTGGGAAAGGCAGCTATACAAAATACAAACCTCTGTATGTAGATGTTGAATGGACGAAAACACGTCTAATATCCCCAGCGAATTTCCCTTTAGCAAAGCTGAAATTATTTCAATTTTGATATTTAAATTCGATCATCCAGAAAGACAGTTGTGTTTGCTGTTAGGAATCAGTTTAGATATACGAAATTTAATTTAAGTAAAGACCTAGGTTCCAGGGTATATGATGGAAGTGAAGCCCTGCT